GCATGCCCCACCGTAGCCGTTCTTAAGTTCTTATGCCCTATGTAACATACGTAAATGTTAATATTAACATATTGAATCGTTCACTTAAGAAAGGTTAGTGGAAGAAATTACTGGGTAATTGTTAACGAAACACAGTAAGTATATTTTCAAAACATTTAAAGAAAAACTGAAATTCAAATTACAAATCATTTAAATGAATTTTCGAATTAGGCCCCACATTTGGAAACACTGATCTAAATTTATGTTGAAGAGGTTTCAAAAAACCTACTAAACTACATGATATATTAAAGGCCGGCAACACACTCGCGAGCCCTCTGGCATTGAGAGTGTCCATGGGTGGCGATATCACTTAACATCAGGTGAGCCTCCTGTCCCCTGTTCTATAAAAAAAACTTCCCGGGCTGCTATCTGTAATTCCTTGAATTGATATAAGAAAAGTAAGAAACGCGAGGTGTACACATTTAAACTTTTTAACTTTCCTAAACATATGCAAAGCTATTGGAATTCAAAAACTGCTCAAGCTTCACTAGGGAATATGTTTTAAGACTTGGAAATAGGGTTTAAAACTCCTGGGAAATACCAACTTGGATAGCAGTAGGCTTAATTACGAATATCCAATGTAATGATTACAGCATTCGAAACATCGTTTTAGGATGTTTTACTACTTTTTACAATCTCGTCTCAAAAGGTAGCAAGACGGCATTTTATGTATATAACTAAATTACTTTACAAAATGTTGGCAATTTTAATATTAATTAAATGTTTCAATCAAAATTACGTTATTAAAACACTATTTGAATAATGCGTCGAACATTAAAAAACAGATTTTTTAATTAAGATTAAATCTCTATGAGTAACTTAAATAACACGATATGAGTAGGTTATGGCTTTTACACTTAACATTTAACTTAAAATTTCTCAATGCATGATACTATCACATATAGAATTTTACAGTACATCCCTATTCATTAATTACGTAAATTTAATTACTCCATTTGTTTATAGTACTGTGTTTACAAATCATTAACGTCATTGCGAGATTAATTAGGGATTATCAAGTTATGATCTAATCAATTAGTATTCAGTTCATTTCCTGACAGCAAGATGCACAAATGTGCACTGGAGCATCACTAATCAACGCTATTTGTATCACAAATCTACCAATATTGATAATGTACTTCAACTATAAGCAATTTACTAACAATCTCAGCGAATGAATATTTCTGATTCTCTCAAATGAAAAGCGTTGTACGCCAACTTAATGTTAGCCGCAAACATTTGCTCAAATGAAAAAACAAAATTAAATTATTTATCAAGTAATATTTTCAAGAATAATTGACACCTTTACCATTTCAAGACGTCTATACAAATCTTGAGGCTGAAATTTGCATTGTTCCTCGTATTTCTGCTTCAATGTAAAGTGGGATCTATTGAAAGATTGAGGAAATGAAATACAGTGACCCCTTGACACAACGCGAGCGCCGCCGGCGCCATCTTTGTTGCCGGGATTTGCCGACAAGCGGTGTGCTGACTGGAATACTTTGCTAGCTAACTAGTCATAGCTAAATTAAGCCTGGTTAAACAATAGAATTTATGTTCTACAACTTCCTTTTTAACCTAAACATTCTTAGAATACCTACGTAAGAATGTTACGAGAACTATTTAGTTTTTATGAATTTTGAACAGAAACGAAGACATCTGGCCAAACTATGTCTCTGTTAGTTTAAATACACAATTTATTTATTTATTAAAGTTCACCATATTTAATACTTTATGTACAGTATATGTTACAAGTTATCTATTCTAAAATACTTGACAATTATGGTTGTGACATGACAAAAATGTTACAAAACAAAAATACAATAAAAATATTACACTTCCAATTTGAGATTTTACTAGTATGTATCAGAAAGGCACTTAACATGGCTTTTATTCAATTAATTATCAAATAGGCACTTAGATATTTTTTTAATAATCAACCCACTACCGAATAAGCTCTGGATAAGTAGTTCTGTTATATTTGCGAAGATCCGAATGAGAGGTGCCCGATCTCCTAGGCTGCTTTTTGCAGACGGAATTTGGAAAATTTGCTAATTTTTAACCTTGGGAATGAATAAAGGACAACAATATCAATGTCCTGTAAGAGGTTTTTTTATTTGACCATTTAACAATGTGTAATGTGTATGGGAACGTAACACCCGCCGATCGTACAGCAATATATATAATTTTAAATTTCCGAAGTCGCTGATGGTATTAGTGTAAAATCCTGTCCCAAATATATAAACAATAGGATTTATGTCCTATAACTTCTGTTTTAACCTATACATTCTTGGAATATGTATGGCCAAATTATGTGTCCAAACCCTGCGCCGGTTTAAAAATCCTTTTAAACCCTTAGTTTATCTAAAACGGTGACTATAAAATCCAGTATTAACATTTCACTGTTAAACCATAATTTAGCTATAATCACGTACTCTTTCACGTAATGTAAGCCATTTTCAGACCTGTTTCTAAAGTCTTGATCGTGAATTGCCCGATGCTTTAAATCAGCTTACGTTGTTGACTATAGCTTAACGCCGCACTTAACGGTGATTTAAGAGTATCGTTCGTTCTAATTAGCTTAGCGTAGTTTAAGCATTGATTTGTTTGACATTTTTACCTTAAGTGGAGCCGTGTTTCTAAATAGAGTTTTTAAGAACTTGAATATTTGAAATCAACTAATTTTTTAGGTAAAACTATTAAGAACACTGTTTCACAAATCCTTCCTTTAACAGATCATATCAGGATAATTATTTATTAAGCTTTGGTTAACAAATTCTTCAAATATTAATAACAATTTTAACATAATATGAGGGACAGTATATCATGCCTACTGTATAGGAGGCGAATATATTCATACAAATTTACGATAAATGATTGTGATAATTGAACAGGTATTGAAGTATTGTCTATTAGGGAGCGGTCAAGTATTATATATAACGAATTTTTGGTCCTCTTGTAAAACGTTGCGATTTTTGGCGTGGATTGAATTACGCGTTATTGTTAATGTTATTTTCGACTTTCCTACTTTACACCACATAATGGTAACTTTTAGGTATAAGGAGTCACTAGGTGGTCACGAAACGTTTTAATATACTTGGGTACAGAAAAACGTTACAGCGCGTTACATTGTGTGTCAATTATCTTCAAAAATTGCGTGACGTAATACTTGAACACTCCCTTAAGTTAAAGGTATATAATACAACAAGGAAAAGATTAAGATTAGACTTTAAAAAGTACCCGAAAGTATCCTAAGTTTATTATCGCTAAGTAGTTTCAGAACTCTTAAACGACAAGTGGCACTTCCTTAATTCTGCATTTTACAGTCTGACGGTGGATTTTTTAATTACATTTCGCGCGCTGATTCAACAATTTAAAATACAAAGCTTGTACATTAATTATAATGAATCAAAATTAAAACTGTTTAGCTTGGAACTTTGTTTGCAGTCGTACTATTTATTTTAGTTATTATTTATTTATAAATAGAGTTAAATTAGTGGCGACAAATCCTCTTCATCGCTTCTTCTTTTTCCTTCTTTGTATAATATTATAGTTTAAGCAGAACAACAAATAATTGTGCTTTTCGAAGTGATATAAAAAACCAAATGTGACTGTTTTTTTTATCCAAATTCCAAACAATCAAACATATATTCAATAGAAATTCTCGGATAATAAATACAGTGAAAAAACCTTTTATTTCCTATTATAATAAATTGAAGTACAAAAAGAAAAGAAAGAAGAAGAAAGTTTATAAAGGTTTTATACAAAGCAATAAAACCTTTATAAACATTTTAGTTATTGTTGCATTGTATTTTTATCTTTATGGCTTAGTAAAGGCCCAGGTCGTATCGATATTCCGCCAAATAACCGTAACCACACACCTTTTCCATATCTATAAAACACCTTAAGCCAAAAAATTGCAACATTCAACGGCTAGTTAGCGTTTATTGCACCCGTAAATCCTGAGATCAAAGCCCGGTTGTATTTATAAATCTCTTTATCGACGTTAGAATTCTCAGAGGGTCGATCAGGGGCAGCACTGCAAGATCATCTAATAACGGCTTACTTTTTCATCCATCATGAAAATATAGAAGGAAAGCACATTTGCTGTAAGTAGACATATTGCAATTTTCACCAGAGCCAAAAAACTTTATTAATTTCGGAAAAAATTAATAGTGTCTGACCTATCCATGATATTGCTACCATTTTTGAAACATATATTTATTTAACTGCCAGTCACCATTTGCAATGTAAACTTTTTATCAAAGTTACTATAAGTACGTGTTTGGCTAGTTACAGCAAACAGTTTTTTAAATCACAAACCTTTAAAACGCTGTAACTAAGGAAGAAAAATGTACGCGCGGAAATATTATCAATTTACAGGGGTAAATATGCTGTATGCAGGAAATTTATGTATTTGGGTACTTTTAATTGCAATTCAAGATGTAAGATTAGTTTATAATTATGATTAGATCTAGAAATGCAGTGGGTCATTTGGTAATGTAATGTTTGGTTGAAATAAAATGTCGTAAATGGTAAAAAAAAAACAAAACTGTAGGTTCCCTAAACTTGCTGTAAGTAAACGAATGTAAAAATCACACGCCGCTGAAATGCTGTAAGTAGCGTTAAGTTTTTAAATGGGAAGAAGTAAGTATTTGTAAAGAAAAAAATGCAGATTTTCTTTTGCTGTAAGTGCGAAATGTCTGAAATGACTAGATTTTGGTCTACATACAGCATTTAATCTTGCTAAAAATAATATAAGTACGGGCGTTTTCAACGGCGTATGTAATTTTTTTCATCGTAGAGACACAGGACCCAGGTCATTCGATGGGCTTTTTTTCTGATTCTAATGGCAGGAAAAAGTCACTTTAGGTATTTTGTCTACTTACAGCAAATATGCTTTCCTACGTCGATATAGAAGTACTATTTATGTAAAAAAAAGCCGTAAGGATGTCCTCAATATGAATCCATTAAAACAGCATTTTAATCAAGTTTATACTGTTACGTATACATGGCGGAAAATGCTTAGAGGTGATTAATAAAGCGAAAGACCGGTAACATTTGTATGTGATTAGTCATAAGCGTTTCTAGTCCAATCACATACACACTATCAGTTCTTTCGTCCAAAATTATAATCCCACAAAACAATTTCTTCTTTGCTAACTATATGTTATATGTAAAATATAAATTGATCTTCATTACTGTTATACTACAGAATCTGATATTAGTTGCCTTGTACTTGTTAGCGAACTGGAAACATTGTTCAGGTGCGAAAGATAGATGAGATCACCTCGTGTGCAACGCAATCGGCTATATTGGATAATTGTACTAGATGTCACCAATCTTGTAAAACAATTACAATGAAACAAGATCTTTAGCTCAATCGTTTTACCGATACATTTCCTGTATTACAGAATTTGTTTAATAGTTTGATTGACAATAAGGAAAATTGAAATGGTCTTTTCAAATTAGTTTAAACAATTATTGAGTTGAAAAGCTGATAGCCTCAATATTTAAAAATAAAATAAACAACCTTCAACATTTTGAGGGTTGGGCCTCAAATTTCTGTATCTGTTTCATGATTATTTGTCAATCTAACAGGCAAGTAGGTGGATCAGCCTCCTGTGCCTAACACACGACGTCGACTTTTTTGTCTAAGGCAAGCCGTCCTCCGTTCGTCCGTGAATTATTTTATATATTTCCTACTGCAATAGGAGAAAGAATTTTGAAAGCTCATAGTATACGAGTACGAGTAAACTCTTTTTAGTACACTTACAAAACTACGTTTGGTTCATTTTGATATAATTTGTTTAAGACGACATTCATATTTTTCAATTTGTATCAAAAGATACGTCACGACTCTCAGCCATGATTTTGTACAGTCTTGTTAACTTAATGGTTCGATCTCGTTTTTCAGATTTTACTGGGACCTCTGCATGCTGCTGTTGCTGGTGGCCAACCTGATCATTCTGCCTGTTGCCATTTCCTTCTTCAACGACGACCTCAGCACGCGATGGATAGCTTTTAATTGTTTATCCGACACTATATTCCTTATAGATATCGTTGTTAATTTTAGAACAGGTAAGATTTTTAGTACCTACTCTCATTAAATGGTACGTTATCTTTATTTTATTGCCTCAAAACATTAAAGCATATCAAAGTCTCATTAAAATTTAAATGATTTGTAAATACAACGCCATTGACAATTGTCAAGGGGGCCAGTAGAAGTAGGTACAGGAAAAGTATAAGTTGTATAAACCAAGCGAAAAGCACACACATATAAGTATCGGTTCAAAATTATTACATATTATATTCATAATTACGTAATTTAGGAAACTTTGTAATCCATAATAACATTTTATTTTTATATGTATTTTACGTTCCATAAAATATATTTTGATTGACGAAGTTAAATTAATAAATATGAAAAAATTGCAAATTCTTTCCGTTTGCATTATTCAAAGTAAGTGCTGAATTATGGGAAGACGCGAGTCTATTCGTTTCAAGAAGCCGGTCAAGATAATATTATTAATATCTAAAATGGTTTCCGAGATAAACCAGTGAGCGAAACTTCAAAAGCCGTCCATTATATATTAAATAATGCAGCGTATAATTTCCATCTTACATACAGAGCTCTTGATAACGTTAGAATAGAATATGAGGTTTCTTATTTGATCGAAGACCTATGAAGACAAAGACAAATAAATATCGATCATAATCCTTACTTATAGATAAACAAGATAAAGTATTACCTAAATTTAATGCTTTTGTCGACACATACAAATAATTAACGCTATCAGTGTTTAATAGTCAAAGTCATTGTACAACTTCTAAGACATTCAGACATAAATCATGAAAATATCAAGTTTTTGCATTGCATTAAAATTCTGAAATATTTTATAGTACATAATGGTTTCGTATACAGAGATTACGCTTATTGGTTGTAACATAATTTTTCAGGAATAATGCAGCAAGACAATGCAGAACAAGTGATATTAGATCCCAAGTTAATAGCGAAGCACTATTTAAGGACGTGGTTCTTCCTGGACCTCATCTCTAGTATACCACTAGATTATATATTCTTGATCTTCAATCAGGTAAACGTACGTTGCAATTTGGCCGTGTTCCTATTATTATAGTATTAAACTATCTTTTATGTTGTTGATATTCTGTTTCAGCTTGGGTGTATATTGTTTTTAGCAAATGTTTGTTTTTATTTTTTACTTGTTATTTTTATCATTGTCAATATAAACGCAACTGCCACGAGAACGTGCAACGCGTCGTGTTTTATGTCATACTTGTAACGGTTCTTTGGAACCTTGGAAGGTTTGGTTGCACCGGATTAGTTTCTTCTCCAAAACTATTGTTTAAATTATAAACCTCTTCTCTATTTGCACGTTTTCAAATTTTTTATCCACAACTTTTTCACTCTTCTTCGCTTTTGAGCCCATAATCTGTAGGTTAATTTCTGATATCTTTAACTTGCACATTTAATCTTTGTGCACATTCTTTACTGGTATCTTCAAAATTTGCACTCTATTGTATTGATTATTACTAATGCATTACTTTCAATGCTTTTTTATTCTCAATATCTATGATGTTTTTCAAATCGTACAATATTCCTATTTATCATTTCTGCAGCATGTTTTTTAATTTATCACTTATATTTTCACAAATTTACGATAAATATTGTAATATGCAACACGACCAAATTGTAATGACTATTATTAAGTGATTACTAACACCTTAGTGAATACGAAACAACAAACTAAAGAATCTAGCGCCTTTTTTTACATATTATTAAAGCCTAATTAATCAAATTTATGTATAGCATTTTATCTTTATCTTTTTCATATATTTACTAAGCTTTTACTAATTCAATTCAAATTTTCAAGAAAACTTCAAGTTTAGCAATTTAATGTACAGTTTTTGCTTGGCACTTTTCTTTGGCCTGATAATTATTCATGTAAACTAATTGCATGATTTACACTTTGTATTAAAAGATTAGGAAGATTTCAGGTGCTTTGTTGGTAACTGACTGATACCAGCCGAGGACCCCAACAGAGGTTCAGTCTGTTAACATTAACTGGGTTGTGTTCACAGGATTTTAGTGAAAGCTTTCAAATTCTTCACGCCGGCCGTGCCCTAAGGATACTACGGTTAGCGAAACTTCTATCTTTGGTGCGACTTCTTCGATTGTCAAGACTGGTCCGATATGTATCTCAATGGGAGGAAGTCTATGTAAGCTATCGTCTCTTTAAGCCTACACTTTTACTCATTTCCTATAATTTTCACTAACACTGCTCTAACACATTACGCTCACATCAACTAACATAAATCTAACACCGATTAATTTATAATATTGGATTAATATTTGATCCTTTGTGAAATGTGATTGGCGAATTGTGTGCATATGATAATTTTTTTAATAATTAATACCATGATAATCTAATCTTAATCTAAAATGTTCTAGCTGTAGTGAACCTAATAACGTCTAAATGGAAGTGTGTTGTAATCCTGTATTATACCATTCTCCCACCCCCACTGTATGTGAGCCCCACGTCCCGCTCTGCACTTCTCTACTGCCTTTCTGCAAGCTTCTTCTGCCTCAGCACGCTCTCGTTAACTCTACCGACTCTGTACACCGGTACCGCTCGCCCGCGCCGCGTCTCTTGTCCGGACCTCTGACCCGAACCGTCCCACGATCACAGAATACTGTAATATTATTTGCCCAACGTTCATATTATGTTGCTGCTTTTTCAAAGCTAAAGCATTCCGCTAATGCAATAACCAAAAACAAAAACCATTTGTGCTTTCATATTAGAAAACATAACGATACACATTTTTTCAATAAACTAAACCACCCCAAATTCCCTACTTTTATTAAAATATAATTGGCCCATAATTTAACATAATAAAGGGCAGCAAAATAAAAGAACAAGCGCACGGTGCACTTAGAGTAGGGTAGGGTAGACAGCACGGGCTGCGGTCCATTACGCGAGAGTCAGTGAGAAGTGGAGGACGGGGAGGGTAGTTCTGTGACGTGGCAGGCCGCAGTGACGCTGTTGTGTGCAGATGAGCCCCGGGCCGCAGCCGAGCGACGATCCCGGCGTCCCCGAGGGCGGCTCGCGCGACTTCATCTCGCAGGTGCAGCATGCGGCGCGTTCCTATCTGCTAGCGTAGGGGCCTAGCCCTCCCGTCTCGGTGTCGTAGTCCGCCTCGCACGCTCCTCCGCCCCGCACCCCGACGAACGCGCTCACCCGGGCGCCTGCCTCTCTTCCTACTATCTCGTGTTTCTCGCTTCTTTTCTAGATCTTGCAGAATCTACAAAAAAAGCGCACGGAACGCAGGGGACGGCTCAGCTCTGACGTTGCCAAAAAGAAGGGTGACACGAAAAGCAATCTGATATTTAAGGTAAAGGGTCGGCGCGAGCCGGCGCGCATGTGCTCGTTCGCCCGCTTAGCATGCTGCCGGCGTGCCGGCGTCCTTACACCGCTGCGTTTGCTTGGCTTCCTCTCTTTCGTTGGCGTTTCTGTTCCCTCGTCCCGCCGGCGGCCCGCGGGCGGAGGCGGCCAGCGGACAGCTCGCGAGTCGCTCGGCGGCGGCGGCCCGCGACCTGTCCGCTCTGCCCCCAGCATGCTCGCTCAACAACCGCCTCACGCGTTCATACTTATCTTTCACTGTGTACGAACTCATCGGTAGATGATCATCGCGATGCTTGACCTCGAGCGTCCTTGTCGCGCGCAGTCCGCACGGCTTCCTTTAGAGGCATGGCTCTCTTATATTTGATTATAATCCTCACTTCTCTAACCCGCAGTTCCTCAACATGGCATCGGTATTCATGCGGATATTCAACCTGATCTGCATGATGTTACTTATCGGCCACTGGTCTGGCTGTCTACAATTTCTTGTGCCTATGCTCCAAGGATTTCCACCTAACTCTTGGGTGGCAATAAACGAATTACAGGTGCGTACGATCTATAGAAACGATTACACTACAGACTATCTAAACGGTTAAGTAGTTTGTGTATTGGATTTTTTAGGATATACCTTTTTACTTCTGGTGCAAAATAAGTTTACAGGCATGTACAAGAACACATCCAAATTCATTCTGTGAAATTAATAAAGCATCTGTTAAATTTCAGGAGGCCTTTTGGCTAGAGCAATACTCGTGGGCGTTGTTCAAGGCAATGTCCCACATGCTATGCATCGGGTATGGCCGCTTTCCTCCCCAGTCCTTAACGGACATGTGGCTGACGATGCTCTCCATGATCTCTGGTGCTACCTGCTACGCCCTATTTCTGGGTCACGCAACCAACCTCATTCAAAGTCTTGACTCTTCGCGTAGACAATATCGAGAAAAGGTACCTATTTTTACCATAACTTAAGCTAAACTAGTACTATGTAGGACCACAGTAAATATTTCACATCTTAGTTAAGCAGAGAGTTGTTCATTAACTTTAAGAAAATCAAGAATTTTATCAATAATTTGTACTTTGTATAAGTTTTATCGTAAGTATTTAAATGATCAAAAGTTGATCCAACGCAATTGCGTGCCACAAGTTCGTATATGACATTTTTCCACGTCACCCTTTGTGCTTTTATTTCACACCTTATTTTTTAAAATAGAATTCATCAATTATCAAATTTTCACTTACAAAATATGATTGCGATTGTGAATTTTAACTTTCCTGCGTTAGAGCACTCCGTTGATTTATATAAGAATAACATTACAAGAAAAATACTTTCACGAAGTGTTACCTATAATGAGACTTTCATAAATCACTGTTATATAAACTAAATTATTAATATTGAGATATTCTGTGCACTGTCACCAATGCAGCGCACTGAATAAATATCTTAGTATTTTAAAGTTCCCATTGTTAACGGTTTTAGAAGAGGCAGAAAAATGTAGTAGTATTTTTTAATTTGCAATTTTTTCATAAACAAGATGGTTACGTTATACTATGATACTACAGAGAAGCCAACGGTTGTAAAAGCTGTTATGAACACTTATGTCTTTTTTGTATGAACGCCCCATGTATGTGAATGAGACTAATAAATCATGCCTGTTTCAGAGACTAGACGTGAGTACCAAGTGAATGTTTGTGGGTCACTGTTGTTGCGATCACTCGTTGTATCTCGCACTTAGTACTCAGGGCTTCAGGCAAAAATTTGTCTTAGGCATGACTCGCTAAACACAAAATCCGGAAACCCACGCTTGGTCACGTGGTTTAATTCGATTAGCATTAGTGGGTCACGCCTGTCGCTAGCTTTTGTTTCGGTGGAAGCCAATAACCGATTACATTGGGCGTAGTTTAAAGGAACCAAACTAATACTGCATAAAATAACTCTGCTGTGAGCACGGTGTGTTAAGCATGAGTTGTATCGTTTACGTTCTACGATTAAAGTTTCGTAGACGACATTTCTGTATCTCTTACATTTTATATGCCTTTGGCTTATAGATGTTTAATTTAAAAAAAGAATCGCATATTATATGAGATTACATTCAAACTTAGACATTACTTATTTGTGGTTTTTGTGCAGTGTTTATGTACATACCATCACCCTCAGTATTTTAACACAATGTATTGCTTAAGTAGTTCAAGATGTTCGGTGAATGCACACTTTTATATTAGGCAAGTTATTAAAGAATTACATTTTTATAAATCGATTTAAATATAAAATATTGGTTGATGTGCGCAACTGCGTATCCATTATAAAAACCGATACAGAACTGTCTGTCATATTTCCATTTAGTTACGAAACTTCGAAGACAATGATTTCATTCTTTATAGCTTTAAGTTTAAAGTACGTTTACATTTAACATTTACATAAAATAACAAGTGTTCATAACAGTTTGTATATCACGATTTTACATGTTAGGACTAACATCACTGTCATATTTCATATCACTTATTTTGTAGATAGTTGAAACATAACATACACGTATTCCGGTTTTCTTGTAAACATTAATCAGTCAGCTAATTTTCGTTCTTTGCACATATTTTTACAAGAAGCACTAAGGGACAGTTACAATAACTATTTATCTAGTCAACAGTTAGACAATTGTCTACTGTGTATATTAGAATCACAAAGGGAGAAAGAATATAAGGATTGAGAAATGTCTAAGTAAATATAAAGCAACAAATATTTTATTTTCCTAAATCTACTTCCAGGTGAAACAAGTAGAAGAGTACATGGCGTACCGCAAGTTGCCTCGGGAGATGCGCCAGCGCATCACTGAGTACTTCGAACATCGGTACCAAGGCAAGTTCTTTGATGAGGAACTGATTTTGGGCGAACTGAGCGAGAAACTACGGGAGGATGTCATCAACTACAACTGTCGATCGCTCGTTGCATCGGTGCCTTTCTTCGCTAATGCAGATTCCAACTTTGTGTCGGATGTTGTCACGAAGTTGCGATATGAAGTCTTCCAGCCTGGTAAGGAAAACATATGTTGTTGCTTTATGGCATCGAAGCTACTTGAAGGCCAAAAAGAGACATCAAATTATTAACCAGTTTTTCTTGATTGTCTCATCTCTTTCTTTTAAAAGATGCTAATGTTATGAGCTTTAGTAAATTATTAAATGGTAATATAAAATCTAATTTCAGGTGATATTATCATAAAAGAAGGAACTATCGGGAATAAGATGTATTTTATACAAGAAGGAATAGTAGACATCGTCATGGCAAACGGCGAAGTGGCGACCAGTCTCTCGGACGGGTCCTACTTCGGAGAGATCTGTCTACTGACGAACGCTAGAAGAGTCGCCTCCGTCCGCGCCGAGACTTACTGCAATCTATTTTCATTATCCGTGGACCACTTTAACGCAGTGTTAGACCAATATCCCCTGATGCGACGCACGATGGAGAGCGTCGCCGCGGAGAGATTGAACAAGATCGGCAAGAACCCTAACCTCGTGGCGCATCGGGAAGACGACACGACGTCGGAAGGGAACACGATAAACGCTGTCGTCAATGCACTGGCAGCTGAGGCCGAGCATGTGAGTCTGTCAGACGACAGCGTGGCGAGGCTGTCGGAGCGGTCCCTGGGATTAGCGCTGCAGCCTTTGCAGGCCGCGTCGTGCCGTATGGCGGGCGTAGCGCTGCCCGGGCTCGGCGTAGCGGCAGCCTTACCTCGACCCAAGTCAGAGCACGACTTCAGCTCGGCGCAGGGGCAGCCGGCTACGCTGTCGGGCACGGCGGCCTTCCACAAATCGGACGCGGGGCTCGCCCCCTGACGCCGCACGCTGACGTAGGCAGCTCGGCCCCCCGATAGCAATACTAGGCTTAGAGCGAGCGCGCGACGCCGCTAAGTAGCATAGACGAGTATTAGCTGCGACTTCGCCGGGCGAACGCGCCCGCCGAATCTCATTTTGTGATCTTATACTTAATTCTCCTGTGTTATTTAGGTTAAATTTTATATCATTGACGCTGTGACGAATACGACGTATTCCGATTGTAAAGATACTGTTATATATTGAAACTATCGAGTCTTATAGAGATACCTTGCCACTAAAAAGAAAATTATATAGACTAGACTGAAATGTAAAGATATCACTATTTTATGCTTTGTTAGCGTCGACCATTGTTGACGGTCGAGGTCTGTGGACGGAGTTTATCGTTCCCAATACAGACGATAACGGAGATTATATTGAAGTTGTTAAATATTTATTATTACTTTTAACGTTTGATCTTAGAGACGTGTAGTTGCGGGCACATTTGCTTTTTTGTCCAAAAACTTTTAGCATTATTTGTGCCATATCTGTGTATGTGAAAAAATAATTGTTTAAATAAAGAAATAATCCAACTGAGTTAATGAACTGTAGGTATATTACTAACAGGTACATACTAACAACGATAGATTAATAATGAAACAATACATAGTTCTAATGAGAACAATGTTTTAACTATTATAAAATACTGTTATATTGTATAAAATTTTATTTTCATATCCAATTTTACCTAACACTTATTACCATATTCATACCATTATTCTACTCTTAAATGAATTTTCATTTTAAGGTTATATTATTTGTTAGGTTACATTTAAGTTATAATGGGGCTTATTATTAAATTATAATCTAATGATTTTCGTTATTAATCACAAAAAAGCAAATGTGTAAGCAACTTCTTCGTGCGCAAGGCCTAAAACTAACCGATCTTCATAACCAAACACAATAAAATGTTTAAATTAAAACTAGTAGTATTTCTAATAGATTTGTTACTTGGAGATCGGCTTATGACCATTATAAAATATTTATTGTACTCTAAAATACCCACAAAAGTATTTTCGATTGTCAGTGTGAACCTTTTGACACCAATTCAACCACGTGATTTGACAGTCGCATATTAGCATATCGCGTCTACGAGAGGTAAGCTTAAAAAGGCCCTGCGCACTCAAAATCGATGCACAATTTCGATTCCGTAAGTCACCATTGCTTCCTTTGTTACGACACGTAGCCGGTTCGAATTCTTGGTTTCCCAAGTAGAGTGGAATCAGTAGCGCTTGAATTTATGTAAATATTGTAAGTACGAGAAGCCTTTAGCGGTATTGTTTTATAGAGGTATACGGACAGTGGTCCAGTCAATTAAACCGAGGCGCAGTACAGCGTAATGATGCACACTACACTTGGTACCTTATTTTTATTGTAGGTAATTAATTTATTAACGATAGTGATCATTTCGTAGGTTTAAGTAGGCCCGAGCGGTAACAAATTCGGACGAATTATGTTGTGATAGCGCAGCTGGGCTGCGACGTGCTGCCTAATGTGTAATATCAGTACGATTTTCTTTAAGATACATCTGTAAGTGACTTGATTCCGTATAAGCTATAGCGGCCGAGTTTTGTTGGTAGAATTTTTCCTATATGGCAATATTAAATTAAGTTCACTAGAACTCGGTGGCAATGTAGCATATACGGAATTATGGGCTGCCGTAAAATTCCATAAGTGTAAACAGTTGTGGCAAAAATTTGTATGAAACTGACAAGTCACGCTTATCACGAGACCTTTCATACAAATCGTTTCCGCACGTAATTCCAAACGCAGTATGCACATTACCATAACGGTTCAGATATCGGAGTATTGTGGAATGTCTAAGGAATGTAATGAGATAACTCTTGACGCCGGCTCGGCGATCCACGACACCGTAGCGTAAGACATAGCTCAAATGCATGGATAATGCTTTCACTTCTTACTAAGACTTTAATTCTGCCTTTATTAGCTATATATTTCCGTCTACAGTAAGCTCTTAGATATTTTTGCAACCGCTTATCGAAATTTTGATAGCAATAGATTGCAACGATATTTTTGGTTAGATTAGAGTAGCCGTTGAGCCGACCGCCGCCGGCGCCGTTTCTTTGGCACGTTTGATCGTTGAATTATACTTATAGTGTCATGACAATTTGTAAAAAATAATTTTGCAATTGTTGACTTTTTAGCCAAAATATAGTTAATGAATGACGAACCAATACGCAGTAGCTTACTAGTAGATGAATGCAGCCTAGTTCTCAGTTTTGGCGAATAACACCAGTAGGTACTTTGTACTTGTAAAGTATTTATACTATTGACTTTAGCAGAGTGACGTTCGGTCTATATATCAAGAGTAAAATAATTTGTTCGATTTCCAGAAGCATTTACTTATTGTTACTTTCCTAACATTGATGCTTTTTGTAAAGTATATAAATTTTATAGAAGAGATCTATTTTTATTGAAAGTTGAGCTACTGGTTAAAAAAACAGAGAAAACTATATGAATCAAAGAGATTTTTTTTATCTGGACTGTTGATTAGTGTATAATTATTATAATTAAATTATACTGATTTCTGGTATCTATTTTCACCAAAAGTGCTCATCGCTGTCAAGAAAATTAGAGAAAATGCATTAAAAGAATGAAGAAAATCATGTTGTCGTTTTAATTTATTAAATGTGTACCCACCTATTCTGAGATTTTTTTATTTTTACAATTTCAAATGAAAATAAGCCTATATATATAGGATCAATTACATAAAAAAGTCAATATATCATGTATATATTGTTTCATGATCATTTTTAAACCTAATAGGCAAGTAGATGATCAGCCTCCAGTGCCTGACACAAGACATCGACTTTTTGGGTCTAAGACATGTCGGTTTCCTCACGATGTTTTCTGCGAATATTAAATGCGCACATAGAAAGAAAGTTCATTGGTGGACAACCGGGGATCGAACCTACGACCTCAGGTATGAGAGTCGCACACTGAAGCCACTAGGCCAACACTCACTTCAATACCAAAATATACTACATTATTTTATCTGCTCCCTCCTTCAACGAACTTTACATTCTTCAGGTTCTTGAAATTATGATTAATTTGAATTTTAGGGCTTTGGCCCTATTAGAGCTAAACAAACTTAATTAAATAATAATTTATATAGATTCTGTAGTCGCTAATAAAAAAATGGTTTATTACATTTATGTCAAATAGCCCATTGAGTCTGCAAGTGTAAAACCAAGTAGGATTAGTAATATAATAATTGTATATATGCCGAACTTAGAACTAGTACTAATATAGCAAACGATGGAATATATTGGTCAATTATCATTATTCTTCATATACGAACGATACGCTTAATTTGATGGTTACAACAACATTTGATTATTAAGTTTATGACCACCAAGCAAAAAAGGACACGCATGTTAATTTTAAACAAGTAGCTGGGTTGGGTGTTAAATACACCACTTTTACGATACTAATTATCTAGGAGTGTCCGGGGACCTTCATTGAAACCTCCAAGTGAGTTTTGCTCCGAAAGCGTCTAAATATTTTTATAAAAAATTTAAAGTTTTGTGTAATTATTAAAATTTGTAAACAATCCGCCATTTTCTACTTTTCTATTGGTTATAAGTGATGTGACGTTCACTTAAAAAAATCGTGTTTTTAATTTATCGATTGTTAATAATCGTTTTATTTATTTATCGATTATTTTCATTTGAAATTTAAAGTTATAGAATAATCAACATTTCCCTACGCCGGAGCTGTCCACAAAAACAAATATTATTTAGATTGGTTAGGTTAGAGTTAGTATATGAATATTTGGTCCCGAAGGCACCAGGACCCGAGAAGCGAGGCTTGAATAAACAATTACTATTTAGATCGGAGCTGTCCACAAAAAAATTATTATTTAGATTGGTTAGGTTAGAGTTAGTATATGAATATTTGGTCGCAAGGCACCAGGACCCAGAAGCCGAGGCTTGAATAAACAATTACTATTTAGATCGGAGCTGTCCACAAAAACAAATATTATTTAGATTGGTTAGGTTAGAGTTAGTATATGAATATTTGGTCCGAAGGCGACCAGGACCCAAAGCCGAGGCTTGAATAAAAATTATATTTAATCGGAGCTGTCCACAAAAACAAATATTATTTAGATTGGTTAGGTTAGAGTTAGTATATGAATATTTGTCGCCGAAGGCGACCAGGACGCCAGAAGCCGAGGCTTGAATAAACAATTACTATTTAATCGGAGCTGTCCACAAAAAAATATTATTTAGATTGGTTAGGTTAGAGTTAGTATATGAATATTTGTCGCCGAACACCAGGACCAGAACCGAGGCTTGAATAAAAATTATATTTAATCGGAGTGTCCACAAAAAAAATATTATTTAGATTGGTTAGGTTAGAGTTAGTATATGAATATTTGGTCGCAAGGCACAGGACCAGAAGCCGAGGCTGAATAAACAATTACTATAATCGGAGCTGTCCACAAAAACAAAATTATTTAGATTGGTTAGGTTAGAGTTAGTATATGAATATTTGGTCGCCGAATTTTCAATTATTTTTAATATTAAAATCGAATACAAAAATTTTTCACTTTTAAAAAAATCGATTATTTTTCAATCCTATTAATTTTATAAACTAATCGGCCATTTTGAATGTGGTTTATGCTAGACTAGCGGTAATTAGTTTTACAGTCAAAGTTTACTTATAAATCTTTATAAAATTTTTGACGCGTTTCCGAGCAAAACTCACTTGGAGGTGTTCAATGAAGGTCCTCCAGACTAAAATTAGTATCGTCAAAAAAGTGGATGGTATTCAAAACTGTTACCAGTAGCTGAAGTAGGTTCCATCACTCACTTCCACTCCTACTTTTAACGCGGTTTTTATTCTTATTCTGTACAAAAGTCAATTGTCATATATCAAATAAATTTAAATATATGTATATCAGAAATGTCAACTCTTATGAAGTATTGACCAACGTCAAAACCTCAACCTGCAACCATGCATTAAAATTTTCATTCTTGACATATAACGATTCACGTCGCACTTCGCAGCTTTTCAGTTTTCAGTTCGCAATTCGCATAGAAAGTAGAAACTGGAAAATCGTGGTATTTTAAACCGAGTACTATTCTCATAATTTATCAATAATTCATAAGTGTAATTATGTGCAAATTTTTATTTTACTTTGGTAAAATATATTAGGATATGATGGAATTAATTTAGCAATTTAATTTAAATGTGATGCAAACTTCACAGCTGTTTTAGATATTCTTTATTTATATTATTAAAAATAATCTTTTCGTCAAAATGTCTACGCGAAGAGCGAGAATAAAAGCGGTAACAGCATTACCTCCTAGAAGAAAAAATGCACCTAATTTAAATAATAAGCCAGAAAAAGAAAGCCCCAAAGTTTCACTTGTATCAAAAGAAAGTGAAGAAGACAATAAAAACACACAATCTGATATTACTGAAAACGCCTCAACTACACCTAGCATAGTTTGCAATAAATCCCCTATTTTACCTACCATTGACCAAAAAGATTTATCATCGAAAACATCTGAGTTACCTGCTACTCCTAAGCCAAGTAACTTATTTGCTGCACCTTTAACAAGAAATAGTCCAAAACGATTTGCTTCTCCCAATCTAATATCGCCTAGAAGAGATGTATCTAAATGTAACACTCCTGTCCGGCAAACTATACCAAGACATCATGAATTCAATCAAAACACAGAACTGCAAGTAACTAGTAATTCAGTGAATAGAGTACAACAAAACAGTAGAATTGAAGGTAAGTACTTAATATTTATTTGATTTCACTATTACACATTTGGCGATATGTTAGTTTATTCTATACTTTATTGCTTAAGGTTTTAATAGCAGAATAAAATTAATCTTGAAAGAGTTGTTGTAAGATTGTCTGTTCTGTGCTTGTGCCAGTTTTAAATTACTCTTCACTATGAAGAATTATTGTTTTGAGTTGACCAAGTTAGGTTTTGTTCAAAGAGATTAAAGTCTATTTTCTGTCAACCTCATTAAGTTCATTATTGAGTAAATAATAATAACTAAATAACATAATAAGTAAGTATATTTCTGTATACTACCATAATATAGTTAAAACAAATAACCAAGAAAGTGCTAGTGATCACTAGATAAGCTACATGACACTTTAAATGTTACTTATATTTGCATACAGCATATAATATTAAAATTAGAAAATACATTATAAACTATTTAGTGTCATATCTAGTCAAAACCTTATCATAAGTCTGCTAAAACTCCTCATGGGCAAAGAGCTGAAGATGGTAGAAAGAGCCTATAAATTTAAAACAAAACTGACTGACTGTCTCTTGCACAATTTATATTAAACTGCCAATAATTGACGTCACAACTGGCCAAATAACTTTTTAAAATGATGTGTCAGTAAAGTGTATATCTTATAATGCAACAAACCGCATGTAGTAACAATACAATAGCATATTGTTTCATATAGAGTATCTTCATTCTTTTTCAATACTATCTTAATTTATCTAGGTATATTTATTGATTACTAAAATTTATTTCATTTTAGTTATGTATCTGAATTATCACCATATATTTTTTATTACCTGTAATTTATGAGCAACATATTAAATTGGTTACACATTTCTTTCATGCTTGGTGTTCTCCTTTTCACACTTTCATTATCTGCATCTATTAACAACTTTCTAAATAAAAATAATTTCACTTGAATATTACAGGTTGTATGGTGAATAAAAATATTTCTTTACAATGTTTTAATCAATTAAAAGTATTACATAATTACTTTTAATTGATTTAAACATTGTAAAGATATATTTTTATTCAGAAAGTAGAAAGTTAGGCTTATCAATGAAACAAATGCTGTTGTACTAGATAATTGTTATGTATGTATTTTAATTTACAGTCTATAATGAGAAACCAGAAGCGACAGCAACTGCCATGGATGGCATTGTTCCTCTACAACCAGCAGTTGGCCCTAAACCAATAGAAAAGCTAAAGAATGATATTATCTCAGAAAATGCAGAAGTTCTATTTGATCCAATAGTACCTCTGCCATCTCCTAATAAATTACGCCCAAAACTTCGTCCTGTGCCTCGGCTAGGGCCTAGGAGGAACAGTATTCAGGTAACATAAAAATTAGGATTTAAAACTTTGTAATTAATAAAAAACCCGCTATTTTTGTACATAGAATTGTCTTAAATTGTAGCATATACTGCATGTTTTACTACAGCTTGCTTTCTGTTTTCCTGTTAATGACCAGATTGACCCTTTGGATTTCTTAAGTCCGCTGAATATTTATATAATTCATGCACCTAACCAATAAATCTGAAGACACGGCAGTGTGCATACCAAGTTGAGCAGAAAACCAACACGGCCGTATCATCCTTTTCTCAGGCCATTTTTGTTTAATTTTTCAGTTAACAAGCAGGCATATTTCAAATTTCATTCAATTTGAACCACTTGTTTAAGAATTATAACTAGTCAAAGTTAATTTGGTCACTCACTGAATGACCGATCATCAAAACTCTAAGGCACTTCTAGCAGACTCTCCGACCATATCGACATATTTGTATGTTCGCAGTGTGAATTCACAGTAGCGATATTATGTGTTTAATATTATATACTTTATTTTATTTTTTTCTCGATATTATCGTTTTGGCATAGTATGTAAGGATAATGTAATTTCTGTAATAACTAAATAATATAAATAAATGTTTTTGATGGAATAGCTTTTCATCAGAACTTCAATGTTATAATATAGAACAATCATATCAAAAGACGAGATATTTGTGACTTATAAGTACCTATTAACTGCAGCAAGTCACTACGTAAATTACTGCGTAATTTTGTTTTGTATTTTAATATTGATTTTTCATATACAATTCCAAGTGTAAGCCAGCACTGTACATAATTCATTGGAAACAATGGTAGCATTTGCAGAGTAGCCCTGCTGCTGCTAAACTGAAATTTTAAAAGTTATATATACGTATATTATGTTGGTTACGCCACACATTACCCATAGAATACAAAAGTTATCTTTCGCTTCTCAGGGCAGCGCCAGTGAATCCGAAGATGAGAGCCGTCGAAGTCTTCTAAGTGGCGGAAACACTCCAGGACCCAGACAGAGGCATGATTCACAAACAATTCTACAATCTATGCTCAATAGGTAATGTTATTTTATTGGAGAACATTATTAGGGAAACTATAACAGAAAAAATACTTCCAACAGCAAACATCAAGACTTATTAAAAATCTCTTGTAAAACTAAGAAAAAAATAAAAACTTTGAAGGTTAACTCAAAATATGAACTTGTGGCGCTGCAACCTTTTGGGTCTGGGCCTCAGATTTTTAAATAGACAAGTAGGTGATCAGCCTCCTGTGCCTGACACACGCCGTCGACTTTTTGGGTCTAAGGCAAGTCGGTTTCCTCTCGATTTCAAACACAGTACCAGCGAGAATAAAATCTTCTATACTCTGATTCTAATTTCCGTAGAATTCTGAGAGCTATCATTTTTTGACATGTCAGAGATGGCAGACCTTTTTGGCCGGGCACATTTTTCAATTTCAATACGAGTCTGGACATCTGAGTCTATACATACATTTTATTGTTAGTTAATATTATTAAGTGCGGTGCTCCACATTAAAAGTGGTTTAACGGTGAGTGATAATTACGTCCCTTTTCATCACAAACAGTAAAAAACGCACAAAATTTTATTTTATTGAAAGGTTTACTAAACCTGGAATTAGTAGGCAATGATGCCAGCTAAAGAATAAAATAAAGTAATTAAAGTTAATTCGTTATATTGCTCGTGATATTGAAATATTTGTTATTTTTGTATTAGATCATTTGAGTATGTAAATATTTATATTTACCTTTTTGTAGATAGAACATAAAAAATACGTAGCATTTCTTTTTATTGCCCTCAAATAAGTCAAATTTGTCCCTTTTTCGGTAGAGAACTTTTTTAGTAGCAATACTTATGAAATGTCAAAATTCTACGGAATGAAAAATCAGAGTATAGACGGAATGTCTATTGAAGATCGAACCTATGACCTGAGTGCCGCACGCCGACGCCACTAAGCCAACATTGCTCTTACTGAAAATTAATTAATTAAATTCAAATCATAGATACAGACCATGTACAATAGTTATAATACATTTATCAAACCTACATATGTACTTAGAATTCTATGAACCACTTGACATTTATAGTTATCATTTGTATTGCCTCTACCCAGAATACAGATAAATATGTACTTAAATAAATGTAATCTTTGTACCGACTACTTAAAACAACTGAGGTTACTATGCATGTTAATAGTAGGAAGAATCTTTAATAAGGAGTTTTCGTAGGAATCCCACTCAATAATATTTTATAATGTAGAAATTTGCGTGTTGAAATATTATAATAAATAATTATTCCATCAATTTTTTTGCTATAAATGGAATATAAGAAAGTCTACTATTTAGTCTCTTTAAAGTTACGTTCAAATTTAACCCTCACATTAAACTAGGAATAGTTATTAAATTTATGGTCTTCGTCCTCTTGAAAGTATCGAGCTGACCGTCGACATCCAATTATTAAACACGGAAAGATTTTAAACGACACCCAAAGAAATTTTTAAACTTTAAATTCACGTGGCTATTATAGAGAATAGCCAGGTATTCCAAGTACTAGGAACCAGTAAAACGTCCCTAGCGTGCATGGGAAAACTAAAAAACAAATAAATCAGTGGCGCTGCAACCTCTTTACGTCTGGGCCTCAGATTTTGCTACCTGTTTCATGATCATTTTTCAATCTAATAGGCAAGTAGGTGATCCGCCTCCTGTGCCTGACGCACGATGTCTTCCGTCACCGTTCAAGCGAATGTTATATGCGCACATAGAAAGAAATCCATTGATGCACAGCCGGGGATTGAACCTACGACCTCAGGGATGAGAAAAGCACGCTGAAGCCACTAGGGTAACACTGCTCGCATGGAAAAACTAGTGCATAATTTTTTTTTTATGAACAATCCCCTAAGGGTCGAGACTTAGGTTACTATTCAGATACGAGGCATTTCGCTATTTGTGACACCCGTACGTCAAACATTTATTGTAGATATTTTGCCATGGCTAAATTCAAATTTCCATACTTTCCATCTCGACGCCTGGCATTCCATAACAGCGTTTTTTAAGGCACTTTGTGCCGCGCAGCACCTCTTTGTGAAACAGGGGCCTTCAAGAAAAGAGCGTACCCTGTAAGGTCGGCAGCACACACGCTAGCCCCCGGTCTTGCAGTGTCGCATATTTTGCGAAAACTAAGCTTTCGATTCTTAATCGTATTCTAAAAATTTTATTTTCAGGGACGTAAGCCGTGTTAGGAATGAGTCGGTAAGTTCCAGTGTAAGCCAAGTTGTGGGACCACAGATGCCAGCATCTCCCATCAGAGATAAGCCTTTAAAGTAAGTTGGACAAATTTTTAATAGTTTCTTTTATATATCTGTATGTTTATAATTAAGATTACTTATAATTATATTTTTTTCAATCCTCTGTATCTAGGATGAGGCCGAACTTTTGTATATGCAAAATAGATAAAAATTTTAATTACGTTAATAAGGTCAACAATATAACAAACTTGGTTCTAAATCCAAATTGGACGAATTCTTAATTATTTTTTTAATTAAACTTAATGATTGTCATTGGTCAAACGCAAAAATCATATTGGACAGACACTGTTGAAAAACATACGAAGTGCGTGTCGTCTTTTGTTTTATTGTGTTGTATCTCATTCTCCTGGTTAGTTTGTGACTTTACAAAACTCCAATAGTCTTTAAGTACTAAAGGAAAAATTTTACTCGCTCAGACTTTGCGTTTCTTAAGGTTTATATTGAATAATGTACAAGCAGAAACCGAAATATACAGCTTAGAAAATATAGTAATTATCTATCTCTTAATTCTTGTTAATTCAATATTTTAAAAACTACATACTTTAAACACTGTACGTAGTACTGTACCACGACTCCGACACGACTGTATCTCCAGGTTGTGAGTCCTAACTAATAAGGGAGCGTTCAAGTATTACGTCACGAAATTTTGGGAGTTTATTGACCCCCCCCCCCCCATGTAACGCGCCGTAACGTTTTTCTTTACCCAATAGTCAAACGTTTCGTGACCACCCAGTGACTCTTTATACCTAAAATATAACCATTATGTGGTGTAAAGTACTGGAAAGTCTAAAATAATATTAACAATAACGCGTAATTCAATCCCTACCCCGCATCGTAACGTTTATTAAAGGAACAAAAAAATTCGTTACGTAATACGTTCATATAAAAATTCAGGGTTCGCCGTGCACAAGAAGCAGCAAGCAGGCGCGCGGCGATGGCATCTCGCCGCAAACGTCATTGTAAGCGTGAAGACATGACTATGTATGACCTCATCTTTTACAACCCAACGGAAAATCCTATTTTGTGAGTATATACATTGTTTTCTAAATAAAAAGATTTACCTCAATAATTTAGTAAAAGTGTACACAGATACATTTTTTTCATAAAAAATGTAGTATAATATGTATAATAAATTAAAATAATATATGTATATAATTAAAATTAAAAAAAATAAAATAAAATGTAATATAAAATAATTTTGTAGCTCCAAATTCAGTTTATATGAGTAACACTTGATATCCCCCACTAATGATTATTTTTTTTTTAATTTGTACTCACCTTTATATAGCTGTTTTGTGGGTTACAACAAATCTCGCGATTAATTTATTAATTATTCCAACCAAGTATTACTAATAAACTAACAAAAACCTAATGAAGAGCTGAATTTGAAAATACGTTACACTCTGAAAAATCACAAAAAATACAATTTTAAACCGACTTAAAAAATGTATGGTTATAATTAAACTGACGTGAAATTTAGGATTTAAAATATGTATAGGGATTGGATAGGAAATTAAAGAATTTTGTATTTTTACAACACTCATGAAACGTATTAACGATAAGCGCACAGTACGCATTCAACTTATTTCTTAGTTTAAAGTGAGAAATGCGACAAATTAATAAAAAAGTGTACGTATATATTTTTGCAGGCCAAACGAAGACGAAATGAAAGCGAAAGAAGAGAGTCTAAAAGATTTGGAAAAGCAAAGTATGGAAACTATAGAGGAAAGCGTAGATGCTGTTCAGGAATCTGCGCCCGCGCCGCAAATTAAACTTGGCCCGAATGGCGAAATTATACTCGATGAATCTAGTTTGGTAATAATAATACTCATTATTAATTTAAATAAAGTCTACTTCTACTGCCGACCCTCAATCCTTGGGTTGTGTATTCGAAGATATTGATTTATTGAAGATTGAATATGTATAGTTATAAACTTAAAAAAAATCGTACAAAAAGAAATATACATGTAAACTAAATCAGTCTACTTTTTAACTAAAGTACTATTTCGTCTCTTTCTCTCAAATTGTATGTATGGTGTGATGAAAAGAGACGGATACTATATTCTTATAAACTAAATTAATGTTTTCAGGTTATAAAACAAACACAAATCCAGAAAATATCTTCAATAGTCCGTGAAGGGGCTTGGATGCCCTCTCAAGGGAAATACAAACGGGGCCCAAGAACAGCGAACTGGAGTGCCCCGGAGACAGTGAGGTTTTATAGAGCCCTGGCCGCCATTGGGACTGATTTTACATTGATGGCGCCTCTGTTCCCTGATAGGAGTAGAAAGGATCTCAAGTTGAAGGTAAACTTTAAATGGAAATATTCAAATTATAAATAAGTTAAGACCTCCTTTACCTATCTTAATTGAATGTTTGTTACAAATAAACTTATAAAGACTTAATCAATATCATAAATTAATTAACAAGAATGCTTCTTTATCCCTGAGTAACATAGGCTATATTTCCAAAATATACAAAAAAGTTTAGCCATGCAAGTAAAAGAGTAGTGAGAGGCCACTTATTACATATGTCAGAGATTAGGTTATAATAGAACACGGTGTAATTTTTTTGATCGCAATGGCAACACCACGCAATATCATAGACATCTTCCGCTAATAAATAAATTAAAAAAAAAAAAAATATCATAGACATCTTTCACGTGCGTGCGCACTGACGGTGTTCATATATTAAGTGATAATGTCGGGCGACGGTGGTGATACCAACTTTGTAATTATTAATCGAGCTGAATCTGCGACATATATATAAACTAGCTGCCCCCGCGAACTTCGTTTCTCCTTAATGTGATTTTTCTTAGGCTACCTTTTTAGTACATACCAACATGGAACATTTTACTATGCTTCCCCAGAGATTGTTCGGTTTTCTGGAATGAAAACTTTTTTAGGTTAAATCTGTGAATTTTTCTCTATATAAACCTCAGAGTTCAAGTCATAAGATTTTAATTAATATTTAAAAAATAGTGGTTGATCGTAGAAGGGTGAAAAATAAGGGTTGTATTATTTTTGTATGCTGCATCATAAAAAAATAAAAACAAAATATTTTGTCAAAAAATAAAATAATATTTTGGGGTGGACACCCCTTATCACTTAGGGGTTTGAAAGATTGATAGTAGCCGATTCTCAGACTTACTGAATATGCATAAAACATTTCATAAGAGTCGGTCCAGCCATTTAGGAGGAGTATGGGAACGAACATTGTCACACGAAAATTGTATTTATTAGAATTCTTTATTATTATTCTAATTTTATATATTAGAATTTAAAATATACTGCTCAAAACAATTAGCGGAACAAGATTTTTCTCCTTTCTATTGCTTAAACTAAAATTAGATTAAATTAACTTGTACGCTATTTTTTACCTTGTTAATTTGTTAATTACTACAATTAATAAAAAAATTCAATTTGTATTTTTTTATTAAAAAAAAATTTAAATGTGCAATGTAGACGAAAAAATGGTGATAAAAAGGTCCAAAGAAATATTCTATATCGTTTGAATATTCGTCTTTAGTGACTTTCAGTAACGTGTGTGGCCTCCATGAGCCTAATCACGGCTTGACAACGACGGCATCTTCGAATGATCCTCGAATCTCTTCTTGTGAATTCGCTCCATTCTTCAATCAACGCTTCAGTGAGCTCTGCAGTGTTTGAGGTGCAATCGGACGCTTCCGGATGGCCTGTCAAGCAAGTCCCAAATGTGTTCAATTGGATTTAGGTCAGGGCTCATGGAAGGCCACTCCATTACACGGATTTCCTGTGTCGTAAGTAATCTGAGTGATGGCTGAGTATGCGGCCTGGCATTATCTTGATAAAAGAAAATCTGGGCCCATACCAATTGCGGGCCAAACATGATCTTCGAGTTTTCAATGTAAGTGCCCGGGAACAACGACGAGATCTGTACGCTCGTCAAACTAACTCCGCCCCAAACCATCACAGAGCCACATCCAAATTTGTCATATTCCTGGACTGCTGCTGCACTGTATCGCTCGCCTGGGCGTCTGTAAACACGGAGACGACCATCGCAACGTGTTAGACGGAATCGTGATTCGTAGTAAAAGCACTGGCCTCCAATGTCGAAGTTGCCAATTAGCGTGATTTTGCGCGAACTGTCGGCGAGCTTGTCTATGTTGAATTGTTAGACGCACAGCCCGAACTGGTCGGCGTGATCTCAAATTGGCTTCCAACAACCTATTTCTTACGTCTGGTCGGAAATTTCTACACCAATAGCCGTCCTTAGTGTATTTTGTAGATCTCTTGCAGTTGTGGTGCGGTTACGTAAACACATTGACGATGTAGGATCTTGCAAACGTGTAGTTTTCTCTTTCGACCTTGACCACGCCTTCGGGAGTATTCTCCCGTCTCACGTATCGCTTCCAAAGTCTGTAGATAACAGAAGGGCTACTCTAGATCATTTCCTACATAACGCATAGTTCGACCCTCTTCAAGAAACCATAGCTCAGGAGACATCAATTCAGTCAGATCTGGCATTATGACCTAAACTCACTCTTCAATGAATACAATACTCAAAAGGCTCACTTCAATTTCTATTAATACTCAAAAGATTGAAAAAATACTTAAAATGTGTTTTCTTGATTAAAAGTAATAAATTAAAGGTACTTGTATTTCGTCTACAATGCCCATTAATTTTTTTTTAATAAAAAAATACAAATTGAATTTTTTTATTAATTTTATAATTAACAAATTAACAAGGTAAAAAATAGCGTACAAGTTAATTTAAATCTAATTTAGTTTAACAATAGAAAGGAGAAAAATCTTGTTCCGCTAATTGTTTTGAGCAGTATATATAGATTATACAATATACATGTAAAACAAAATTCGTTAAAGATACATTATCATGAAGTTTTGTCTCATTTGTTGTTCGTCTATCTTCTACACAAGTACTACACGTTTCAATAAAACTTATTTAATGGATAGAATCGCGAATTTATTAAATCTTTACAACTGTGGATACTTACTTCTTTGTTGTGATTTCAGTTTAAAAAAGAAGAAAAAATAAATGGAGAGCAAATTGATAAAGCGTTGCGGTGTAGGTTCTCTTGGGACGCCATGTCGCTTGCGGAAGAGTTTGAGGCGGAGAGAAAGGAAGCTAAGCGGAAAGAAGAAGAGGAGAAAAGGAAACAGAAAGAGTTGATAGAGCAACAGAAGAAGGCCGAAAGAGAAAGACTGAAAGAATTTAAAGGAGCCCGGAGATGTAAATATATTTGATTAAATGGCTAGGTCTTATTACTTCTGTAGATTTAATATCATGCTGTACTTGAAACTATTTTTAAAATACCCTCTTTTTTCTTAAAATTTGTTGATAGCCATTATTAAGAAAAATGAAGAAATTCTATCTATAAAGCATTTAGAACAGATATGAGAACTGTGTTAATTATTTTTTTATTATTTTTAGGTAAAGCTATGAAAGCGCTCGAATGTGTACCAAGCACTGTGTCTCGCAAGAAATTTACAATCACCAACGCCGATGATCTTATTGAACGAGGCAAGCAGATAGAAAATAACGTGAAAAAACGCTCAACACAAAAACATACAAAGTCGTCTACTTTAACATCCAAAGTGGCCAAATCTCCTCTCACCCGTACACCAATAAACATACCAGCCCAAAGCAAACGTCAAACTCCACTAAAAACCCCACTTAAAGCCCCAATGTCCTCTGACATGGCACATACAAGAAACACATCTAAAACTCCAGATCTTGCCTTAAGAAACATTCCCTCTAATTTAGAAACCGGTTCACTCATAGTGTTGACTGTAAATGACCCAAAATCTCCCGGAAAAAAAATGTTGCAAACATATATTGCTCAGGAGGAAGGTATATTAACTCAAGTGGCTCTGCCGAGTGGACTTTTGAATTCAGTAGTAGGTTACATGAAAAAGGGTACCCCTAAAAGCACTGTGTCGAACACTTCTTCGCCTATTACTCCTAATACTGATAGAGCTGGTTCTGGCCAAAGTTCTGAAAGGAAACGACAAGCTTCCTTCTCTATAACAGAACTCTAGCCCATATTAATTATATGTTTTCTAAGTATAAATTTGCAACTAAGATTTTAATTTAAATTATGATTTTATCTCATAATGTAGATTTAGCGAAATGTATGAAATGTTTGATACGCCTTAACTGCATAATTATGCTTAAAAATAATTGTATAGCAATTGTTTTTGTACTCCATACTCTTCTGATATAAAATAAATGTAAGAAAACATGAGCCTTAATTTGTATCACAGCAATTTGTCGTTAGTGATTCGTTAGAGATTTTAGACCTAATTTCTAGTTCCCCATATGAAAAAGTAGAAAAATAAATAGTGTTATTCTGTGCGGAAAGAGAATTTGCTTTGCTATTTGCTTCGCGCCATTTAATTTATTCACAGAAATTATATACAGTGTTAACTCTTTATAACGAATTTCAAGGGCGTGAGAATTTTTATTTCGTTATAGGGAAGGAAGAATTATTGTATCAGTTTCGTGTTAAACCAAACAAATTAACTCATTATTACGTTATAGAGAGTTCTTCGTTATAACGAATGACGTTATAAAGACTTTACACAGTACTTTTAATTTAATATGACAATTGACCTTAATTAACGGGGTTTTTTTTGGAGTTTATGACCTGCCTAAGATAAATAGACATAAAAAAAAGCAATGATTGCCTCAAATGTCACATTTCTCTTTTTGCACAGACTATAAACCTATGGAAATCCAAATACAATTTATTCATTTAGGTAACACATAGTACACTTAAGAATGTCAATAAGAATATTTAAAAAAATATCTAGATAGACTGCGACGTGACCCACTGTCGCCTGGCAAATTGTAAGGAAATGGTCACGTGACGTAAAGGGAGCTTGTCAATCTCGTACAGTATTCATTAGCGAGTCATATCTACCGAAAATTCTTAAATGCTCTGCGGAGTGAATAGACAAGCTAAATTAGTCTACTACTTCTCTTTCTGTTATGTTTACTTTGTGAAGAGACAGATGAGGGTTTTCGCTAAAACTGAGATTTAGTTTCAATAAGGAGTTTAATACACCATAGATACGTAATTTTATGTATCTATTATGAGTGAAACATACTTTATTTTTATTAAGGTTCAGACTTGTTCGCCATCACGGTTAAGTCCAAGAGTTGGTACAAGCTCCCAATAACATAGTATTGTAGTGCCTGTATGTAAAGTACTAGCATAACATAAATTACTATTTCACATAGTATCAAATCTATAAGGAATTATATTATTCAGCCAATATTTTTTTAATTAGCTATATTGTATTCTTATCACCGAAATGTTTTAATAAAACCAAGTATTAAGATTTGTTTTTTTTTAATTTTTAACCTAAACCTTATTCTGCTTAATATTAATAATCAACCAATTGTGAAGATGATTTTTCTTATCAATTAAGAGTTAGGCAAATTCAATTAAAACTATCAGTTTGCTTCTATAACTTCGTGTGGGCACCACTGTGAAGCTTCCAGCGCATCCCACAATGATAGATCAGGATCTAGGAATTCTTGATTCAGTTTGTCCACATCAATAATTTTTTTATGTTCTGTAATATAAAAAATAATAACATAAACCAATTGTTAAAAAAATATATTTTGAGATTTGTCCTAGGTAAACAAATACATTACTTATTTAATTACATAATAAAGATCCTTTCTAGTACATATAGCAATAGTTAAAAATCATACATTTCTGTGCAGATTTTTAAATGTACCTAAAACCTAGAGATTTTCGAAATTTAATATGTCTTAGAGATTCACATACAGAGGCTTTACAAGCTTAATTGTTAAAATCAGTATAGTGAAAACATTACTATTTTACTTTAGCATTTGGTTACACACTTATATAAAGTGTGTTTCAACTTACACTTGGTTTCAATACCCTAACTATATATAAGTAGTAGTAGTTCTCTATAGAAAACTCATAAATTTGCTGTGGACTAAGTGCATGGCACTATTAATAGTAATAATACCAATTAACAATTAGTACGTACCAACAAGGACAAGGTCATCACTTTGTGCTTTAGCTGCAGCAACTTGGACAGTATCTACAACTGGTGTAGTTGTTGCTGCTACCTGTGTATTCTCACCCTGTCCATAATAGCCTGACCATGCTGAGTAATTTTGCCAATATGCTGATGGGTCATAGTACTGATTGTACTCCTGAAAAGAATTTTAAAATTTGTAGTCTTTGATAACATTCATAATAAAGCTAAAATAACATCTGTCTGAGTTTTATTAGTTCATACTAATTTTAGTCTTGACTAAAATTGTATTGATTTGAAGTGACAAAGCAATTTCTAATGTTTTTAAATTGTTTGGTGGCTTTTATCTACCACTCTTCAACAACTAGTATCCCAACCCTGTTTAAGACTATGCATCTACTCTATAGTAATAAAATACAGCACATACTGTCCCTGAAGCATAAGATGTATTTGATGTAGTGGGTGTTGTGGCCTGTGTCGTTATAGCACTCTTGGGTTTAGGCACTGCAGTACATATTTTAAGTGGCTTAGTCCCAAGCCCTGTATAACCATTCATTGCGTATAATGCATTTCTTTGTTCATCCTCATTCCCAAATCTAACAAAGCCATAGCCTTTTGTATAACCAGCATTATCCAATATTACTGAAATATTAATTAATTTTTATTGAATAAAATGTTGCATTACATAAATATAATATTGGGTAAAGCAAGAATTGAAACAGTTTTCAAATATTGTTATTGTATTTCTAGACTAAATATTGGTAATCTGCCTTGAATCACATTTACGTAAAAAAAGAAATTGCCAGAGTTACCTACACTGAAGATAGTATTAACATAGTTATAAACTTGAACTATAATAATATAATTATTTTTATAATATGTGCAGGGTTATAAACATCATACAAGAAACTAGACTGAGTGAGTACTACAAATTACAATGCCTATTAAATAAAATATGTAGAAAACCAGATAAATTCTTATGACAATAATATAAATTTACCTTTGGCAGTTTTGATTGATGAATATTTAGATGCAAACACTCTGTACAAAGAGTAATCATCTATATCTGGACTGAGGTCTCCAACCCATACTGAAAATTCTCTTTCCTGTTGCATGTTGGCCCGAGCCTCTCGCGATGCAGTATTTAACCTGAACCTAACTACAGGAAACGTGCCAGGTATTGGTTTGCCATTTAATTTGTGCATTGTATCAATTGCTTCTTCATCTGTCTGGAAAGGATTTTAGTTAAATTATTTTTAGTTAATTTTGATAACCGAAGTATTCTTCTAAATTAACATGTTATTACCATTAACGTTATATTGATTTATAAAATTCTGTATTACCTGGAAGTGCACAAAAGCATAACCTGCCGGTTCTCCAGTAAATTTATTTCGCATAACCTTAACAGCAAGCGGATGCTGTCCCATCCTATGAAATGCTGCTAATATAAAACTTTCCGTCATATTCGGCTCCAACTGAAAAAAAATATAAATACTATATAAGATTACAATTATTTAGTACGTTTTTGTATTTTGTTAAGAAATCTTACACTGCCCATCCAAAGTTGACACTGCATTTTGGAAATTTTATTTGAACAAGGAAATGTAATATATAAATGCTTAGAAATCTAAAACTTAAAATATTATTATCTTGAATCACAAGAAAAACATGAAAATAGAAAACAAAAATCCTCAAATACAAAACACCTGAATGCACTGACAGTATTGACAGTGACACTTGACAGTGATGTTACGATCAGATCCATTTTTTTTATTGATTTTCGTGGAAATCATTTATCTATTAATCGATTTTCGGCTTCAGGATTGATATAACTACCAATATCGGATCGCAATCATTGTTGTTTGGACACAATTTAATATCGGTATAGGTCGGTTATCGAAAGCTGGCGGGTTCACAGTACTCACACTAATGCAATTTCACATACAGTATATTTCATAATATGATTTTTTTGCCAAGCTATATATTTTAGTCCACTCTGGTTTTAGTAAGGTTAGGTGGGTTGTAAATAAATAAAAATGTGTCAAATACATATAAATATTAGGTGCATACGAGGGTGGATCCAAAAGTTCTAAGCCAGACCAAGAACGTGAAAGAGTAGTTCGTGTAAATAATTTTTCATTTTTCGACATACGCTCCATCTAGCCATGACTTTGTTGGTCGACAAAACGACCTTAGCCGTTTTCGGAGTAGGTGATCCAGATATTTTCCATTGTTTGGACTGTTGCTTTGATTCAGGAGTATGGTGGTGAACCCAGCTTTCAACAAATCAAAAAAAAAAATCAAATCAGCTTTCAGCTTTCTGCATCTGATGTCAAATGAAATATAATTTTTTTTCATTAAACTGTTTTTATTAAGATGCTTAAAATAATTAAAAACATTGTGCACTATTTCACGAGATTGCCCTGGTAATGTTTGAAAAAAGATCAACATGTATAGTAAAGATCAACATAAACAGTAGCAAAAGCAAAACAATAACTGTATCTTTTATACTCATTAGCTTGACCGAGCGCGAGAGAGACGGACAGTCTTTTCATGATGTATTTGTGATTGTATTTCAGTTTGACATCACGCCTCGCGCTTATTCACAGACACTACACAAGCACAAAGTGTAAATGTGTTGAAGCCGCCAGCTTTAAGGGCTCCCACACAAAACTGCGAATTCGCATCGCATCGCAAATATCTGCGAATTCGCACGAACGCAACGCTAGAATTTCCGATCTGCTTCGCATCGCACATTCCTGCGATTTTACGTCATCCTTGGTGACACCATTTTAGTCCGCTCTGAGACAAACAATTAAAATGTCAATAAATACATTTTGTTTTACTTTACCTGATAGTCAGTCCCACCATTTCCAAAGGCATAACAGGAATTCTTCCCTTGTACGATCGTTATTGAAGGCATGGTGATAATATACTCAAAAGCTCTTCAAATGAAGATATGCTCATTCTAAAATAATCAAAAAATTTATCTTCAGTTCTCAACGCATAGTACTTTTGAATAAAATAGTTCCCATCAGAGTTCATAATCGTAATGAATGGATGAACCCAGAATCTTCTTTTTCTTTTATATCTATTTAATAATAACAGCAGTGCAATAATCTTTTTGCGATGCGATGCGAATTCGCATCGCATCGCATCGCAGTTTTGTGTGGGATCCCTAAATAACATACCTATAATAGGAATGTTATTAAGTGTGGAGGAGCTAATCAAAGTTAATATATTATTTTACTAATAATATTGTGTGTAATGTGTGAACCAAGATTCAGTATCGTATACTAGCAAACTACTAATAATAAGAAACCTGTCCTGTAGTATGTGGATATTAGTCTATGCACTATAATTCATCTGTGATACTTATCTGTGAAGAGTGAAATGTGAATTTGAAATTTAAACACAAATTTGAACAGCAAAATAACAAATTGAAATTAATTCACTAGCCACACCAAAATTTTACAATAACTAACCTTTATTTATAATTTACATTTTACATGAAATGAAGTTACCTATAGTATTAAGCATTAAACTATATTAAGAAATGATAAATCGAAGGAGCCAGGTGGTTAGAATTTAGGGTTGAGTTTCTTTGACTTTGGGCAAACTTTTAAACGCCTTGATAATAAGGATTAACTTGATGATGGAGGCACATAACGAGACAAATTTAAAAGTAAAAGCACGTAAATGTAAACCAATTCTCACTGAGAGGAAGCTACGGCTTTCCCTAAAGTATAGACCTAAAATTTTGAAACTAATATTAAAATTAAGACTTTGTGTGACTAAGAGAAATCATATAATCAAAAAGTTAACTCAGCGACTTCATAAAAAGGTGAGCGAGTAGTTAGTACCTTAAGATGCCTTAAATTCATCACAACACTGACTATTTTGTGTATAATTTAAATTGTAATTATTGTTAAATCTATAGTACCATGAAGCATCAACACAAACAGATATTTGGGATACCAGTAAAGAAAGTGCAAATCACAAATCCGAAGAAGCAATGCCTAAACAATTAAATGTAAAGAAAGAACAAAACAATTTAGCCTGGTCTATAAATGATAACAATGAGAAGACTATAGCTGATCAAGTTAAAGAAGTAGCCCAAAGTGCTATGCAAGAATCTGGAATGGTTTATGTGGAATCAGCTGGCATGTACTATGACTATAAAACTGGTTATTACTATAACTCTGTGAGTATGTTATTTTTATAATACAATTATATGATTTGGTATACATTTTTTTTTTCTTTGAGTTGTTTATATTAATAGATATATGTTAGAAAAACATTTGTGGACTGCATTAAACCTTTTTACTCAACCAATTAAAAGGAGGAAGGTTGCACATTAACAAATCATTTATTATTATTTTTTTATTACAGGAACTAGGATTATACTATCATACAGACACAAGCTGCTATTATTACTATTCAGAAGAAAAGAAATCTTTTGTCTTTCATTCATATCCCGATAGAAGTGCAGAAAACCCTAACCAAATTGCTCACGAGAGAAAGAAAAGCAAACAAAAAAGGGTAATTGATAATAAACTGCAAGTAATATGACGTAATAAGTATATTGGTTGCGAATTTTCACATGATCTGGTTTCCTATTTAATAAAATATATTTTATATCAACACAAATACTACTATATAAATTGTATACATATTTTCAAATATAAAATATACTAATTATCTATTGCCTATTGAATACAGTAAAGTACAGTATTAAATTTTATTTAGTTATCAATGCCTTTTTGCATTACATTTTGTAAATGTTATAATAATATTATTTTTGGATTTGGAATCATTTATACTAAAAAAAAATATGTTTTGTTTTGATAAGGCACTGAAAGTTTGCAGGGCCTGAAGACAAATCTTAGATACAATTTAATCTACAAATAAGAGACCAATATAATATTCTTTAATATAAAAAAAAACTATCGTTAACTAGAAAAACTTGGCTTTAGATTGCACTATTTCTTTGATAATTATTAATACATTCCAGGTTATGATGTTTTCTTTTCTGTACTTACAACTGAGCAAATATCAATTGGGATTATTGAAACGACGCATTAGTGTGTCTTTGTTTTATCTATTAAGCCATAATTGCTAGATAAATCATATTGGTGGAAAATAATTGTTATATTTTTCATTTCAGGTGGCGAATAACGACGATATCGAAAACCTAACGAAAAATCTATCTAAGGTTTCTCTCCGAGGCACAGCCTTAGGTAAATTAAATAAAATAGTAACTCCCAGATACCAACACTGAAATTGTATTACAGGAAGCGCCGAAACTAAAACGAAAGAAAAAAGAAAAATCTCTTGTCGAAGAAAACGATGAAGAGCTTGAAGACGGAGAATGTAGTAGTTCAGATGATGATGCCGCTAGTACATCAACAGCCACTGATGATGGTAATAAAGGATTCAACAAAATAACATTTTATTTAGGAGCAGTGTTGGATTGTCTTTGGACATTTTTTTGTATGGTATTTCTTGATAATTTTTTCTTTTAATAGACAAGTAACAGCCTTCTTATAAGTTTCCATAGATGTATCCTTACCGTACACAAAAATATACATATCTGTGGACATATGGGGTTTATGTTCCCGGGGTTCAGACTAAATTTCTAAAGGCAAGCGAATACACCTATAGCCAAAGACATTTTACAGAAACAGTTGCGAAACATCATCCGCCATGTATGCGAGTGATCGTACGCGAAACGACTCTGCCGAAATTGAAAGTTGGTAGTTTGTTCCTCGTCACCAAAGATGGCGGCACCATAGGCAGGGAGGGCGAACACCATTCTATTGTATTGCGGGACCAAAATGTGTCAAGGGTAAGATATACATATCTCTATATATATAAAATTCTCGTGTCACAATGTTCGTTCCCATTCTCCTCCGAAACGGCTTGACTGATTCTTATGAAATTTTTTATGCATATTCAGTAAGTCTGAGAATCGGCTACTATCTCTATATTTCCAACCCCTAAGTGATAAGGGGTGTCCTCCCCAAAATGTTTTATTTTTATTTTTTTCAACAAAATTTTATTTTTTTATGATACAGCATACAATGTACATACAACCTTTAATTTTTACCTACCCTCTGAAATCAACCCCTATTTTTAGTTTGTTAGTTAAGAACTTATAACTTGAACTCTGAGGTTTATATAGTGAAAAATCACAGAAAAACCTAAAAAGTTTTCATTCAAGAAAACCGAACAGTCTCTGGGGTAGCATAGCAAAATGTTCCATGTTGGTATGTACTAAAAAGGTAGGCTAAGAAAAAATCACATTAAGGAGAAACGAAGTTTGCTGGGGCAGCTAGTTATTATATAGAATTCAATTTTTGTTTGTAATATGAGATCTGTTACCTAACTACCTTATAAAAATTTCAGTAATTCTCACAATAGTGGAATCTCTCTCAGTAAAGTCTCTTTTCATCATGGTGTAAGCACAATTTTACAGAAAGAGACAAGTAATTTAGTTATAGGAGTGAAATTCGACTGGGGATTAAACTTCAACAGATATAAAATAAGCCTCTGTACAATATTAAACCTAACCCTATATAAATACAGAAGATTTAAATATATAAAGATTCTTATATATCTTTCCAGGAACATTTACATATCGAATACGATCTCGACCGAAGAACATATTTTGCTATGGATCTTGGTTCAAAGAATGGTACTGTTCTGAATGGTGTAAGAATGTCACCAAGTCAGGAGACCAGTTCACCCATTGAGGTAAGTTATTCTCAAATCAACGCAATAATCAAATATAGTCTGTGTGATACTTGCATTTAAATAAAACAATTGTTTAAATAATTTGAGGTGTTGAGTGCCTTTTAGCATCTGCTATATCAAATTGAAATGTTGCTTTATTAACACAATTGGATTTTCAAAATTTACAGATAAAATACTTCAAGTATTTTACTCTAATGATATATTTTTTTTAATTTTAAAGTTTGAAAATTATTTGTATGTATATAAATTTGTTATTTTTTTTTCTCTTTTAATAGACAAGTAACAGCCTTCTTATAAGTTTCCATAGATGTATCCTTACCGTACATAAAATATACATATCTGTGGACATATGGGGTTTATGTTCCCGGGGTTCAGAGTAAATTTCTAAAGGCAAGCGGATACACCTATAGCCAAAGACATTTTACAGAAACAGTTGCGATGCGAAATGTTGCTTTATTAACACAATTGGATTTTCAAAATTTACAGATAAAATACTTCAAGTATTTTACTCTTATGATTAATTTTTTTTAATTTTAAAGTTTGAAAATTATTTGTATGTATATAAATTTGTTATTTTTTTTTCTCTTTTAATAGACAAGTAACAGCCTTCTTATAAGTTTCCATAGATGTATCCTTACCGTACATAAAATATACATATCTGTGGACATATGGGGTTTATGTTCCCGGGGTTCAGAGTAAATTTCTAAAGGCAAGCGGATACACCTATAGCCAAAGACATTTTACAGAAACAGTTGCGATGCGAAATGTTGCTTTATTAACACAATTGGATTTTCAAAATTTACAGATAAAATACTTCAAGTATTTTACTCTTATGATTATTTTTTTTAATTTTAAAGTTTGAAAATTATTTGTATGTATATAAATTTGTTATTTTTTTTTCTCTTTTAATAGACAAGTAACAGCCTTCTTATAAGTTTCCATAGATGTATCCTTACCGTACATAAAATATACATATCTGTGGACATATGGGGTTTATGTTCCCGGGGTTCAGAGTAAATTTCTAAAGGCAAGCGGATACACCTATAGCCAAAGACATTTTACAGAAACAGTTGCGATGCGAAATGTTGCTTTATTAACACAATTGGATTTTCAAAATTTACAGATAAAATACTTCAAGTATTTTACTCTTATGATTAATTTTTTTAATTTTAAAGTTTGAAAATTATTTGTATGTATATAAATTTGTTATTTTTTTTTCTCTTTTAATAGACAAGTAACAGCCTTCTTATAAGTTTCCATAGATGTATCCTTACCGTACATAAAATATACATATCTGTGGACATATGGGGTTTATGTTCCCGGGGTTCAGAGTAAATTTCTAAAGGCAAGCGGATACACCTATAGCCAAAGACATTTTACAGAAACAGTTGCGATGCGAAATGTTGCTTTATTAACACAATTGGATTTTCAAAATTTACAGATAAAATACTTCAAGTATTTTACTCTTATGATTAATTTTTTTTAATTTTAAAGTTTGAAAATTATTTGTATGTATATAAATTTGTTATTTTTTAGTTACACAAATCAATCAACTGACAAATCTTCGATAAAAAAATAATGTAATTGTAAAATTCAACTACTATTTCCCAACGTGGAGCAATTTAATTGGGGGGCTATTCGAAAAATAATTAACATTATTTGTAATTTAAATTACAAATTTGATTAATAAATATTTTTTTAATTTAATATATTATATAATAATATTAAAAATTATGTATGTTACATAGCATAAGAATTTAAGAAAGGCTAAGCTGGTAAGCATGACTCAAAAAATGTTGGAAAACGCTGATCTAAGCCATTCTCGAATCTATTTGAAAAAAAAAACATCAATATCCAGCCGTTTAGGAGTAATAATTACAAACACGCACAGTTTTTTTTATATATAGTAATTCTAATTAAAGTGTTATTATTTATTTTAGATTGTACATGGAAGTACATTACAACTAGGAGAGACGAAATTGCTTTGTCATATTCATCCTGGCACAGACACATGTGGACACTGCGAGCCTGGACTTATTATGGAGAGTAAGTTTTTGATATCTCACATAGTTAAATTGTCTATTATAATTTAATATTTAATTTAAAATATGTTTATTTTGATTATAATTACAGTCAAAATCTGTTATAACGACATCGAAGGTACTACTCATATTTGGTCATAAAAACCGATAGTCGTAACGGCCAATGTTGTTATTAAGAACCTAATACAATAGACTACAGCCGGGACCTTTGATTTTGGTCAAAATAACCGGTATGTTGTTCTAAACGATGTCGTCGTAAACGGATGTCCTAATACGAGAAAAATATTACAAATATTAAATCAGTAATAAAAAAATGGATATAATTTTTAATACTAATTGTTAAAAGGCTGGCAAGTTCATGCCTTCTGGCAATGTGTATTGCCGTAAAGGGTGGCGGTATCAATTAACATCAGATGAGCCCGTCGCCCGTCCAAAAAATGTTCCATAACCCACTTAGGGTCCAACACAAATTTAAAAACGAGAATTAGAGAATTACTAATCTCGCGAGATCTCGGAATCCTAGATATTTAGGAGTGATTTTGGAAGAGTATCGAGAGTGCTATCTGATAAGCTACATCTTATGTCAGTCTAAAACTGGCACGAGATCCCGATCTCGCGAGATCTGGATTGGGATTTGGTCGTGTTGTGATTTTTAAAGCTTACCCCAAAAGTATAAATTCGTAATTATTTTATTTATTAATGTTCTTTTATTACAGTGCAAGACAAAGAAAAGAAGGCCTACACAAGGACGTGTGGCGTGAAGAAACAGCACGAACTTGAACTTGCGAGATTGAAGAACAAGTACGCACCGAAATTGCTGGAAATCGACCAAATTTCTTACAAAGATAGAGCTCAGATGAGGCGAGAGAAAGTGGGCTCGTCACACCACGCTGAAAAGACCCAGACAAGTGATATTAATACGTAAGAATATTTTTTTCATTTATCTATACTGTTATTTATTTCGTAATGCTACAGCTAACAAAAATAATAATCTTTAAGAATTACTCAAAAGGGCAATTTTTACTTAGCATAAAATTAAAATTTTAGTACAGTGTAATCTCTATAACGAATTTCAAGGGACCGCGCGTTTTTACTTTTATTTCGTTATAGAGAGGTTTCGTTATTGGGAGGGAAGAATTAATGTATGGGTATTGGGTTAAACCAAATAAATTCAACTTATTTTTACGTAGAAAAACACTTTTTTAACGGATTTGAAGTTATGTTTTATTATAAATTTACAATTATTTTACATAATTTTAAAATTAATCGACACCATCAACGTGTCACCGCGTAAAGCACGCGAAACGTCGGTTAAATTTAAAATTATGTAAAGTAATTGTAAATTTATAATAAAACATAACTTCAAATCCTTTAAAAAAGTGTTTTTCTATGTCTAAAAGTTATGTCAATAAAAGACAATACTATTATTTTTACGTTATAGCGAATGTCATTATAAAGAGTTTACACTGTATTTAGCTTAGATTATGAGTTGTGAAACACACATTCTGAAGTGAATTATAATAAAAATCCCATGTCCTCAAGTGACTATGGCTCTTATTTTAATTGAGGGGGCATTTCACGTGAAGCGGAGTTTAACCCGGCATATAAACAACTTCACTCTTCTACGACTTCACTTTTTTTTCGCTGTCCGCTTCACGTGATAAGCCCCAGGATTTAAGGCGCAAAATAGTCTGGATCAGATTTGAAAAGGCGAGATAGGAAAATCTCTAATAACAAATACGCGCTTCTGTCACTTTAAAGATTATCGCTTTATTTTCTTAATTAACGCTTATGTTACCTACCTTTTAATATGTCGTAGCCAGATTGTAGAATTTATTATTTATTAAAATAGTCGGTCAAATCGATTAATCGTTACTTAAAACAATATTAACTAAACGCACTGCCACTTCTACAATTTGTTAAAATTATGCAAATTATGAAATTTATTTATTTATTCACAAAAATACATACAAATATATTAAATATAAATACATAATATACACAGTATCGCTGTCGATAGTGTCGGAAACAGCATTCAGAAGGCAAAAAGATTTAGACAGTCTTTTGAGATATCATTGAATCTAGCATAATTATGACATTAAGTCTAGCCCATGAAATAAGAATATTTAACGAAAACAGTCCTTTACTACTTAAGGAGTTAAGTGAAGTAACGTGATTAATTTTTCTATAAACGTAACAGAACTAGAATCTAGAGCGAGTTTCTCTATGAAAAAAATTGTCTATTCTACAATCAGGTCAGGTAAGACTACTTTTCAATTTTCCTAAAATACTGACCCTAATGTTTTGATCCAGGTGTATAACTCCTGAGAACAAGGGCTTCAAGTTGCTGCAGAAAATGGGCTGGTCCAAGGGTGAGGGACTTGGAAAGGACAATCAGGGTGACCAGGATCCGGTAAGTGGATTTTTGCTCTTTCAGGAGTGGGTGCGCGTCTATAATAGACGCAATTTTTATATATTCATTTATACGTATATATTAAAACCGATTTGAACGATAGCAAAATAAAGTATATTTCGCGCGTTATTGCAGATACTTTTTAATTTAGTGCGCGCGCGAATCATTTCTTGACAGCCAGTACATTTTCAATGTTCATGGGGCCTTAGTCAAGATGCCTTAACAGTAGTGTATGTAGAACGTCAAAAACTAAATTTGTATGAAAACTTTTCGACACGAACTGTCATTTCCATACAAATTAAATTATAAATACAAATTTCAACGTGTGTTACAAATCAAATCTGCAGTATTGTACGTACACAACACACATACAGCTCTTTTTGAATAGATAATAAACCTTTTTTTCGAGAGTGAATAACTTACTAACCATTCATTTATATAAAAAAACATAATTAATAACCGTCACAGATTAGTCGAATCGACGGTAACTTGTAAATATTATGTCTTAGCCTATCTAATATTGTCCTGTAATTAATTTCGTGGGACATTGATTTAATTTCTAAATATAATTTATGTGTATTTGTGTTATTTAGAAAATAAAGACTGTGCGACGCCATCTTGTCTATAAGCGTTGAAATTATGAGTATCAATTTGATTTTGTACTTAAAATCGTAACAATTAGGTTCTGTCACTAATAAAATATCAGATTTTTAAAAATCTTGTCAAATAATCCATTGTGAAACATGGCTTTTATATATTGTGACTAACTGACTCGGCAAACGTCGTTTTGCCATGTATATTATTTGTAGAAAACATTTTTTTAGTTCAATAAAAATAAAGATTGTATGTATTTTTGTATGCTGTATCATAAAAAAATAAAAATTTAGGGGTGGGACCACCTTTAATTTAGGAGGGTGAAAAATAGATGTTGTTCGATTCTCAGACTTACTTAATATGCATAAAAATTTCATAAGAATCGGAGGAGTATGGGAACGAACATTGTGACACGAGAATTTTATATATTAGATATTATAATAAAGTCGTCAATCAAATTGAAATAAAGTTGCATTAAATATCCATTACCGTTTGAATCAGTCTGTCTGAAGGATATATTTAGGATGTGCGCAAAAAACAGATAAGTCTTGGGACCGCTTAATTACGGTGCAATTATTTGCATCTACCGACTTGTGTATAACGACATTCTGGTTGTTTAAACCTTCGACTTCGACGATGCGTCTTTTTTTTATTCAATTTTAATTGTCTTAGGTTTAAAATTTAAAATAAATTATATATTTTCGTGCTTTAATCACATTTTTACATCTGATCTGATCATGATTGCGAAAAGGCATTCGTAACGTCGATTATATTTTTTTTATATAACAGGGGGCAAATGGGCAGGAGGCTCATCTGATGTTAAGTGATACCGCCGCTTGTGACACTCACATTGCCAGAGGGCAATAACAATTAAATAAATAAAAATGAATCAGTGGCACTACAACCTCTTTAGGCCTCAGATTTCTGAATCTGTTTCATGATCATTTTTAAATCTTAAAGGCAAGTAGGTGATCAGCCTCCTGTTCCTGACACACACACGCCGTCGACTTTTTGGGTCTAAGACATGTCGGTCTCCTCACGATGTTTTCCTTCACCGGTCGAGCAAATGTAAAATGCGCACATAGAAAGAAAGTGCTGCTATTGGTGCAAAACCGGGGATCGAACCTACGACCTCAGGTATGAGAGTCACACGCTGAAGCCTGTAGGCCAACACTGCTCTAAGGGCAATAACAAAACAAAAAAAATATACTTAACGTATAGCCAACGATGGAATAAATAATATTACTTTTATTTTTTCTTTTTTTCTTTTCCTATATCTCTATAGCTTAATTTTGTCTTACTATCTGAGATTCATATTAAAATACTTTTCATCTATTTTCAACCATAATTATGATTTAAACTAAATCTTACTACAATCTCTCCATCAACCACCTTCTACATTTGTACATTCTCCTTGTAATCCCCTCACCTTATCAAAATTCATTTATTACATAATTAAACACAAAAATAAAGTTTAACTTCTATTAAACAAAAATAAAATAGTTTTCTTATATACTTACATACTTTTCTTAAGTAAAACAAAATTTAATTATTAGGTATTTAAATTAGAATCACATTATTTAATCTTTGGTATTAACTTTTATTTTCGGGCGTGGCAGTATAAATTTGTTTTCCTGGCCTGTGTCATTTTGTTTGTTTTATTACTTCTTACAACATATAGGGTCGAACGCTTCTGTGTCAAAACACTCGAAGAACTACTATTTTATGGATTGGTAAATTATTCAAACTCTTTCCCATCAAAATCAACCTTAATAAAGATAATAAAAATAGGTATTAATATATATTTACATCACATACTTCACCGGACAAAGTTAATGCAAATATTAGCAATTACACACTAACACAATCTTTCCTACTACCAGGGTTTGTCAAGATGCCTTAACAGTAGTGTATGTAGCAAGTCGAAAACTTAATTTGTATGAAATACACTCACTTTTTCATACAAATTTAGATGTACAATTCGTTCAAATGTGCCCCATCTATGCTGTCGAAATCCCCTAACAATACAACAAATTAACGAATTTTAATATTAATAGGAAAACGTCATAAATTAAGTATTGGAGACGTATCTTAAGTATATTTTGGTAGTTACTGATAGAATACTCTACACGAAAACTTATTTTATCTACGGTAACAAGAGACAAAAACAGATCAAAAATTACATACCGAACGCGAAAACACGTCTATGCCTGTAACTTCACTCTCATCGTGCGAATTTCGCGAAACTTCGGTGATGTATAGTTGGTACCTCGACTCATGCACACATACAAAAACAAGACTGTACTTTGTTTCGTTCAAGTTTTATTTTGACTGATGAATGTGCCCCCACGAAGGGTAACGATCTTCCCCTATATACGTATATACAAAAAGGTTAAAAAAAACATTTACGAAAGGGAAAACTAAATAAAAATTATTAAATACGTAATACCTAATTCGGCTGTGCTGTGTGATGGTGTGATAGTGAGTGCATATCATCTAAATAATATCTTCTGTGGATTTGTTTGTATTTGACCTCCTCCTACATGACTTGACAGATTATTAAAAATTACGGATTATTACTAATTTAGTTTTAAAATTAGATGATTTTTTTAAATTAAGATTTTTGGATTTATGTCTCGATTGCGTTTGTCGAGTCCGCTAGTAAACACAATAGTATTCGCGTTTATCTCCGTTACAGAAGTAATTTTTTATACAATTTTATAGTTAACATTGGAGAGATATTATTTGCTTATAATAAAATCAAATAATTTTTTATTATAAATTGTTAGGAAAGAAACAATTCATTATTTATTCATATACGTAACCTAATTTACACCTTCGTTCTATATTTACATTTATTGCCAGTTTTCAGGGAAGGGACGAGAACTGGCAATAATCTCCCGTCTCTCTTTTAAATCGCTAAAGATTTTTAGAAAATGTTTATAAGCACCTGCAGCCATGACATCATACTCCTCATGACGTTTAAGCAGTTATTGTTATTTAAAAAAAAAATAAAGAAAACCAGACGTTTCTCTATCAGCGGCGCGGCTCTAAGGCCCGTAAAATAGGAGCATCCTACTTTACTGTAGGAATAACACGCAAATACGTAGTAGCAATGATGTTTTCTTTGAATTACTTTTCTAATACAATTATTTTGTATCGTAACCCGGTTTCTATATAACTACGGGTCGTATATTTCATATTTTATATCCCTTTGTTTTTAATTACGCTTGGAGCATTTATTAAATGGCTTTATGACGTCTTCGATCATATTGACGATTATCGAGTTTAAGACAGGCTATTAGCTGATATCATCAACTTTTTTACTACGATTTCCTTAGCAGACCCTAAAGGTTTTTTTTCCTTTTTAATTGTGCTGTCTGTAGGTCAAACGGGGTATTTTCATTTAAAACAATTTGCTAAGTTTATAAGACGAATATTTTTCATATGTTGGTATGCAGAGTCGAAAACTTCGAAGACTTCGCCTTGTCAAAATCCAATTTTGACTTGCAGGAGTCATACTTAGTGCTACGTCTTCATTCTGAATCATATGGTAAACGCTTGAGGGCCATTCGAACCTTGTTTTCGTTGTTAACGACATCAAACCTAAAGGATTAGGTTATCAAACGATCAGACTGACGTGTAATATTTTCAAATAAAAAAATAAATAAATCAGTGGCGCTACAACCTTTGTAGGTCAGGGCCTCAGATTCCTGTATCTGTTTTCATGACCATTTGTCAATCTAATAGGCAAGTAGATGATCAGCCTTCTGTGCCAGACACGCCATCGAATTTTAAGTCTAAGGCAAGCCGGTTTCCTCACGATGTTTTCCTTCACCGTTCGAGCGAATGTTAAATGCGCACATAGAAATAAAGTCTATAGGTGCACAGCCGGGAATCGAACCTACGAGCCCATGGATGAGAGTCGCACGCTGAAGCCACTAGGCCAACACTGCTCAATATATTTTCTAATACTTGCTGTAAAACTTAAGCACGGATGACATGATGGATTGGTATTAATTGTTCTATCAAGTGGTATAAATAAATATTCTATGTAGAGGATAGATTCGAAACTACACCGCCAACCTGTACGCCCTGATTTTGTTAGGTTTTGATTGCCTTTTTGATTTGATTAATTGCCCCCGTATGAGAAAATTTAAAGAAATATTCTCGTCAAAAATTATTCCTCGAGAATTCAGAGAAGAAGCGTCTCCGGCGCACTATTTTTCTTTCAAATAAAACCAATGAGGCTTTTGTGGAAATATTGAATGAGGTAATTAATATTAATGTGCGCATACACAACGTTTATCGTGTTTATGGTATCCGATACCATCTAATAATATTAAATTTCATGTTAACATAGCTTGTTAATGTTTTTATTACTACCCTTTATTTTGTGATTCTTATCAATTTTGGGGGTTCGCCAGTTTTAAACTTGAAAAAGATTATAACGTACTTACAAATTCTTTGTTAAATGAAAAATCTTAAAGCAAAATTATGATTTCGTGGCATGTACTTCGTTATTGTCGAAATAATGGTAGCTATAAAGGTACCAAAGCGAACACATTTAATTGTGCGCGCACTATGCCAAGTAATTTTTGAATGATCAAGTATATTAGAGCACAACGTTTTCCAGCCAGTCCATATTAGCAACTGTCGGCAGAAAATCTTCTCAGTGAACAAGTGTGCAAGTCTGCGCGCAACAAAAGTTACACATAGCATTGCCGATGAAGACAAGCAAAACGCGACACGCGGTTAGTACGTGTTAAGGCGGAAATTACAAACTACCACATACGCCTCTGTTTTTAAATAAGTTTGATGTCCAGTAACGTTTTCTCTTTTTCTTAATTTGGATAAAACAACAATTAAGTAGAATCAAAGATACCAACGCGTCCTCGCTGTCGGCCATCTCGTGAACACTGACGGCGATAGCGGAGCATAGAGTATTGACGAGCATGTTACGCTGTGTTTTAAAATCGGCTGTCGTGATGCTTATGTCGTGTCGTGTCGTGGCGTCCTCTGGCGTTATTTCTGAACAGTACTTAACGAACCTTTGCAGCGTTCAAACATACATAATGTTTTCGTCTGATTCGGATAGTGATTTTGAATAAGACCTTCAATTTCTCTTAGCAATGAAACTTCTTAAGAGCAAAAAAAAGAAAAGATACTGGGTTCACCCTATAAACAGAGGGAGACAAGACAAAGGTGAATTTCATCGTCTTGTTAAAAAATTAGAGAGTGACGAAGAGAAATTTCATCATTTAATTTCATATCTGCTAGATGTTCGCGCCATGAGCCACGCGCCAATATAGAAACACATTTGCCTGTTGTGTCGTGTCGCGTCATGACCCCCACCAACGCTCTGGCGCAATCGGTGGCGAGCAGTCGGCGCCACGACAGAAGTCAGAACGTGTTGTGACACGACACGACATGCAAATATGTTTCTAATCATATTAAATGTCTGAAACCAATATGCTTCTGGCGCGTCACGACACGCCACGACACGTAAGTGTGTTTCCGCCTTAACACGCTCGATGCGAATGCTACATTACGCCTCGTAACTTTGGTCAGTTCCCACCTTAACAGATTTACATAATTACACTGTTTATTGAAAAGTCATCAATTACCGTAGTAGACGTTGTACTTGTCAGATTCTTATGTCATACGGAAATCAAAGTTTGCGAAAGTCTCGCCTCTGGATTTAACCGTAGACCCGAGCACTTATATAAAAATTTATTAGTTGTGCTACTGCGCCAATTACAATTTATTTATGAAATCAATAAAACTAAAAAAATATATTTTCTACAATAATTTTCAAGACAATATATTAATCTCCTTATACTGACGGAGTAAACATACTCCGAGTTTGTTCGCATGAAAACACAAATACTATCTATACTAATAATATGAAAGGGAAAGAAAATTGTAACGAATTAAATTAATATTTCTGAAGCGAAATGTCATCAATAGAATGCGAAATATCCCCGAGAAGCGTAGGTTTTTTCTGAAATATAAAAAAAGTCCATCCGTTTTATTTTGTTTAGACGAGTACGAAATAACTAATAAAGTTAATAATGAAATAGTTCCATGAGTTTATTTCCTAGAATCTAACTTACATAAAGCCCGGACAATAAAATAAAAAACCTGCTTTTGAGGTGCTAATTCACTATGATAATAGCAACACTAAGTATAGTCATACATGTAAATTGGCATGACATTTGACACATTATTCCTTCACATTTCGTATGGTAAAAACCTTTTCTTAACTGGCCTTTTAAAAAATTTCGGCATTTTAACGGATTTATAACTTACACTATCCCTACATCCAGTGGTTCTGACAAAAGCTTCATTTGTCCAGTTAATGACACACCTCGAACACAGAATGTACATTGAGAAACTATGCGAACGGATAGTTCGAAAACTTCAAGTAAAAAATAAAAATTAAACAGTTTTGCAGCCTGTGACACCAGGTGGTTGTGCATCTCATGGAATATAGTCCCGGCTAATACACATAAAGCTAATAAAGTAAATACATGTCTATAATAAAGACTCTTCCCTGTTAGGGAAGAAAAAACCTCACAATATCAATAAATAATGACATATTGATGAAATTAGTGTCAATAGTTTCCCGCATATGGCGATGTGTTTTATTTTATTGCTTAGGCTTCTTTACATTAGTATTTAAATGAAGAATGTTAAGTCACATTTGCATAACAAAAAGGATGATTAAGATAAACTAATCTATGGCTGTAATAGGTTAATAAGGGCATAACTACACAACTTAGATCAAAATCGCTTTGAATACCGCATTCGCGATAGTCAACAATGTTGCATCTATCCGAGCTAAGTAATAACCGTTATATTTACGAAAGGTTCTCATGCAAACATGGAGCGGTAGTTTCTGTAATAGTTTGGACTACCCTCTTTATTTAAACCAATTTTATTTACCCTTGTCGTAAACACCTCTTGACCAGTAATGTTTATTTATATGAGCGTTTAATTTACACATTTAAACGCGAGTATATGGAGCTGTGTTGGCCTAGTGGCATCAGTATGCGACTCTCATCTCTCAGATGAGGCCGTAGGTTCGATCATCGGCGGTGCACTAGTAGACTTTCTTTCTATGGGCGCATTTAACATTCGCTCGAACGGTGAAGGAAAACATCGTGAAACCGTCTTGTCTTGTAACCAAAAAGTTGACGGTGTGTGTAAGGCACAGGCTGATCACCTACTTGTCTATTAGATTGACAAATGATCATGAAACAGATACAGAAATCTGAGGGCCAGACCTAAAAAGGTTGTAGCGCCACTGATTTATTTATTTAAAAGTGATTATGAGTAGCATGTGACTATGTTTATTGGTCCAAAGCTTCCATGGTATAAAAAAGTTTACGTAAATAAATATTACTTAAAGGTAATTTTTAGTAGTATATTTATCACTAATGTTGCCATTATTCACGAGAACTCAAAGTTATAATGTAAAAGTCTTCCAATAATAGTATTTGTTCTGAAAACATCGATTTATTAAACATTGATCAAAGTAACGTCTGTTGCCATGGTAACCAAATATTTCTATGAATATAAACTAACCTAAAAAACTTATATATATATAGAATATTTCGCCACTTCACTTGTTAAACGATTTACTCCTGACTAAACCAATCCCATTTGACACTTCATAATTCATCGTCAACAGATAATGCGGTTGTCAAACTTACACGACGTAGCGAGCATATTTTAAATTGTTATGAAATCTCGTAGCTAATACTGTTAACGATGTCAGTGGAAAGCTTATAAATGACTATAAAATAAAAATGTGTTCATTCGTTTGACAGCAATTCATTATAATGTGTAAGATTTGGGAAGCCTTCTAAGTAAATAAATAATAGTTTAAAAAAACTAAAAAACACGCTTTTAAAGCACATCAAACTAAAAAGTGAAAAATAATTCCTAATTTAGGCTGAAAATGGTAATGAACAAAAAATACTGGTATTATTGTGAAAAAGCGTGGGGCGCTCTGTGCCATATTTTTCGTCTATCGAGCAACCCAGTTTGATGTGCTTAAACGCCTTTACGCCTTTAGTACACCTACGCAACCGCATGCGGCAGCGAAACGACGAAAAAACTGTAAGTTGTATGGCAATGTTTCGCATGTGTTTTGTCTCGCTCTATTATATAGCTAGATGAAATAGTTGCGTCCTTGTCGGTATTGTTTCGCAAGTAACTGCGAAATGGCTGTTACACAGACGCAGCCGTTTCGCTAGCGGAGTTTCGCATCGCAATGCGTCACCACGCGTTCTGTCAGTGAGGACAGAATTTCGCACAATGGAAGCCGAAAATATTGAATTATTATTAAATTTGATTCGAAATTATCCCGAATTATATTTAGTTGGACATGTTAATTACAAAAATGCATACAAAAGAGAGGTGGCATGGAGGAAAATTCAAGAAAAGACGGAGATAGATGGTAAGAAATAAAGCTACAATGACATTTCCTTGCGAAAAAACTGCAGTGTACTAACGTTCCGCAGATATTTCGCTACCGCAATTATTTCGCAAAGACTCGCAGCCGCATACGAACGCGTAGGTGTACTAAAGGCGTAAAAGCGTGTTTTTTA